AATTAAGCCTCTATAAAAACCCAGAAGGACTCTTGGTCTGGAGAATTTCCTGGTTGGTGACATGGAGACGCGGGGGTGAGTGGTATGCTTGGAGAGCGTGGTAGCTCCATGCTCCCTTTCCACATCCCTTGTCCTCTGCGTTCCTTCCAACTAGCTGTTCCTGAGTTAATTGCGTGATGGATGGAAAACTCACCCATTGGAGGTAGGGTCAAGGATACTCAAAATTGTTTTTGAAATCATTTTTATTTTTAAAAGAAACGACATTGGCAACTGAGATGAGGTGGAGGATTAGGTGAAAAGTGAAATTAGGGGTGCCTGGGTGGCTCAGTTGGTTAAGCGACTGCCTTCGGCTCGGGTCATGATCCTGGAGTCCCGGGATCGAGTCCCACGTCGGGCTCCCTGCTCAGCAGGGAGTCTGCTTCTCCCTCTGACCCTCCTCCCTCTCGTGCTCTCTGTCTCTCATTGTCTCTCTCGCAAATAAATAAAATCTTAAAAAAAAATTTAAAAAAATAAAAAATAAAAAAAAGTGAAATTAGAATGCATCAATAAATGTGCAAAGGATCAGCAAGGTTCTGGGATAGGCATTTGAAACTTCCCCGGAATTAATGTAGTGGATGGGAGAAGAGTAAAAAGATAGTTGGGGAAACAGGTGCATAAGACATGAAACTGTTTTCCAGATACTTAAGTATTTAGTATAAGAAGTTAAATGCAGCTGTTGATAGGTTCTGTAAGAAGTGTAAATTACCGGGGCGCCTGGGTGGCTCAGTCGTTAAGTGTCTGCCTTCAGCTCAGGTCATGGTCCCAGGGTTCTGGGATCGAGCCCCACATCGGGCTCCCTGCTGCGCGGGAAGCCTGCTTCTCCCTCTCCCACTCCCCCAGCTTGTGTTCCCTCTCTCGCTGTGTCTCTCTCTATCAAATAAATAAATAAAATCTTAAAAAAAGTGTAAGTTACCGTTTGGGAAAGGTGTAGGCTTACACCCTACTGAAAAGCTAGTATGCTAGCCTGTTACTGTTTCGTGGCAATAGACCTGAGATTCCTGGGTCAAAGAGAAATTTGTTACTCATGGCAAAAGCAGTGGCCAGAGCTTCACATTTGTCAGTTCGCCATGCATCCCAAGTCCCACTGGGGAGATGGGAGTCAGGCAGAGATGGATGTCTGCACATGCAGTGGGTTGTGTGACAGGAAAGGAATACTAAGTGTGGGGGATTTGCTTTTATAGTAAATGGAAGCAAACCTGCTCCTTGGGAAAGACATTACCTCAGCTCTGAAGATCCATCACCCCAAACAACCCTGACAAATGACCTGAATAAAGAGCAATCAATACCTTGTGTTTTTGACATACCCAGCAAGAATTTGCAAGGACATTCAGGGTCATGGCAGTGTCCCTCCCAACAGTACGTTGGGTTCACAGGATGGTGGGGGGAGGATGGGTAAATTCTAATACAAGGCTTGAAGAAAGGCACCAGGGAGGTGACTTTTTTTTTTTTTAAAGATTTTGTTTATTTGTCAGAGAGCACAAGATTGCTCAAGCAGAGGGAGAAGCAGGCTCCCCACAGAGCAAGGAGCCTGATGTGGGACTCGATCCCAGGACCTTGGGATCATGACCTGAGCCAGAGACAGACGCCTAACCGACCGAGCCACCCAAGCATCCCAAGGAGGTGATGTTTAAGCTGTGTTTTCATAGGGGATAAATGTTCATCGAGCAGACATGGGGAGAAGAAAGGGTATTTCGGCCTGAGACCCCGCCAAAACACAGGTGTGGAAATTTGATAAGGGGTTGGCATGCTCAGAAGATTTACTAGGGTCTTATCATAGCTGGAGCTTTCAGGACCAGGTATGAGGAATGTGGAGGGTAGGAGAGCGGTGGTTAACTGTAACAGATAGGGTTAGATAATGAGCCATCTTGTTTACCTTGGTAGAGTCTGTCATCCTGTAGGCAATGAGGGACCACTGAAGGAGGTCTTAAGCAGGAGAATGCTATGATTAATCTGGTGTATGTTATAGAATGATCACTCTAGATTACCAGGTAAAAATGGTGTTTTGAACATAGTCTTCTGCATTTGTTTACTCTTAAGACCCCCTGAAAATGATAGTAAAGGGATATAAGAGTCCTAAACTCTCAAGGATAGAGGAAAAGATTCTGGAGTCAAAAGCAAAGGGCTCAGCTGATTTAGAAAAGCTAAATTCTAAACCAGCAGGAAGCAAAGCCAATAAACAATCCTATTTATATGACAGAACCCCTTAAGAAACTGAGAAGTTGGCTTCTGGAAAGAGGGGTGACAAGGGTAACTAAAAGGATTGGAAGTTCATTTAGGAATGAGTTCTATCCTTATGCCACTCCCCATCACCCCTGTATAGCCTAATTCTGAAGGCCTCTGTGTTCAGGAGAAAGTAAAATAATGTTTTTTTTTTTTCTTTTTAAAATTTTTTTTAAAGATTTGGGAGAGAGCATGAGCTGGGGGCAGAGGGAGAAACAATCTCAAGCAGACTGTCCACTGATGGAGAGCTCAACCTGATGACCGTGAGATCATGACCTGAGCTGAAACTAGGAGTTGGACTTAACCAACTGCACCACCCAGGTGCCTCTCTTTTTTTTTTTTTTTAATTTTTAAAATCTTTTTAAAAAGATCGTATTTATTTGAGAAAGCGTGCATGACTGGTGGGGAAGGGGCAGAGGGAGAAGCAGACTTCCCACTCAGCAGGGAGTCCTCAGAACCCTGGGATCATGACCTGAGCTGAAGGTAGACTTAACTGACTGAGCCACCCAGGTGTCTCTTCTTAATTTTAAGTGGGCTCCACACGCAGCGTGGAGACCAATGTGGGGTTTGAACTCTTGACCCTGAGATCAAGACCTGAGCTGAGATCGAGTTGGACACTCAACCGACTGAGCCACCCAGGTGCCCCTAAAACAATGTCTTGCGGCGCCTGGGTTGCTCAGTCGTTTAGGGTCTGCCTTTCGCTCAGGTCATGGTCCCAGGGTCCTGGGATCAAGCCCCACATCAGGCTCCTTGCTCGGCGGGAAGCCTGCTTCTCCCTCCCTCTCCCATTCCCCCTACTTGTGTTCCCTTTCTTGCTGTGTCTCTGTCAAATAAATAAAATCTTAAAAAAACCCCACAAAAACAATGTCTTCCTATTGGAGTATATTAGGCACCTGAAATAGAATTAAGTGATAAATTTTATACTCCATTCTGAGACACACACCCTGAAACATACACCACAGCCCTTTTCTCTCAACTTGATTTTCAACAAATTGTCCCACAGACTGTTTCCAATCAAGTTTTAAATGTCCCACTTTTAAATATGTGCAGATAATGCATGACTACCAGACACCTCAGGAAGCCTCTAATATGAAAAAGTCCAAAACCAACAGAAGAAAAAAAGTAGATTGTACAAGGGGAAAAACAACTAAAACTATCATTAATATCCGAGGTGAAAGATTATAATAAAACCAACATCACTCTAGCAGCAATTTTTTTTAAGATTTTTATTTGACAGAGACACAGCAAGAGAGGCAACACAAGTGAGGGAGAGGGAGAAGCAGGCCTCCCGCTGAGCAGGGAGCCGGATGCGGGGCTAGATCCCAGCACCCTGGGATCATGACCTGAGCCGAGGGCAGACGCCTAACGACTGAGCCACCCAGGCACCCCTCTAGGAGCAATTTAGAGTTAGAGCCAAGTGAAGCTAATAGGCTTTCAGGAAAAGCTGACCAAGAAGACCTGAACTAAGGTAGCAGTAGCAGAAATGAAGATTGAGAGCATTTTTTAAAAATGCAGATTGTAGGCCTCTCAGAAAACTAATTCAGAACCCCCGGGGAGGAGGTCCAGGAGCCTGGAATCTGTGTTTAACATCACCATAGGTGATTCTGATGTAGTCAGCTGACTTTGAGATCGAGGAGTGGAGACAGGGTCTAACTGGTTATAGGAGGGTAAAAAAAAAGGGGGGTGGTATCTAGGTTTCTTTGCTGGGTGGATGATGGTGTCATTCTCAAATACAGAAAGGTTGGGGGGCACACCCTCCCCCCAAATCGTTTTAGTAGCCTGTGATATATCTGGGTGAAACTATCCTGAGCAGATGGAGCTATCTCTTGCTTGGATTACTGCTAGTTTCTTGCCACTGACCCCTAAGGACAGTGGGATATCCTGTGACTTTTCATATATAGTTGTCAATGCTGCGCGGTCTTCTCAGTCTTTCAGCAAAAATTTTGTTTTATTTTTAAAGCTTTTATTTATTTGATAGAGACACAGCGAGAGAGGGAACACAAGCAGGGGGAGTAGGAGAGGGAGAAGCAGGCCTCCCACGGAGCAGGGAGCCCAATGCGGGGCTCGATTCCAGGACCCTGGGAACATGACCCGAGCTGAAGGCAGACGCATAACGACTGAGCCACCCAGGTGCCCCACAGCAAAAATTTTAAAAACCTGATCACTTCCTCTGCTATTGCAGAGTAGCTTAAAAATAAAATTATTTCCCTTGACATCTGTAATAATTGACATGTCTCCAACTGTAATAAGTTGGAAACCAATTGTTATTCAGGCGTATAGCTTAGGTAACTCTCCCCCGCCCCATTTTATTTATTGCTCCTACTGAAAGCTGAAAATTTCTTACTCATCGTTTAAATCGGTCTCTTCCAATTAAAATGCCAGCCTAATTGTGACAGGGACCTCCTTTGCAGGCTTCATCACGGCACTCACAATCTCCCAAACTCCATTTCTACTCTGAGAAATTGTCAGATGGATTAAGTCCATTTACTATTGCATTTCACAGCTATTTCACCTTCCTTCACATCAAATCTAGACAGTATCTTTCCACTTTATGGGCTCCGAATTAAAGTATCTCGCCCGAGTTTAAATATGAAAGGGCACAGCTCTAAGCTGCTTCAAAGTCTATGCAAACCCTGTCCAAAAATCCAGCGTGACCACAACAGGTGTCTGAGCTGAGAGCAGTAGGCAAAAACACTGCCAAGTCTTGCCCAAGTTGGCGCAAGCCCCTTTGGGAGGGGGCGGGGCTTTAGGACACTATCTGCCCCCGGTCGCTCGAGCTGACGTCAATGCAGCGACGCAGAGGATTACGGGAGAGCCCGTGCTTCTCAGATCCCGGCGGCCAGTGCGATAGGTACGCTTTACGGCTTGCGGGTAACTGTTTTTTTAATATGTGTTGGGGGAGATTCTGGGTTCGGGCTTTTGGAGGGTCCGGATGGGCTAAAGCCTCTGCCGCAGTCGTCAGGCCTTCTGAGTCTCGCAGGAGGCTGCATCCAGCAGGGGTTTGTGTGAGGAAAGTGAAGTAGGGTGAGGCCTCGGGCTGGCTGTGCAGATTGGTTCAGCCTCAGGGCCACCGCCTCGCCTGGGATGTGTGTCAGTGGCGTCTGGCAGGTTGGTGTACTGCAAAGACTAAACTGACCTGTGTGATCTCTCCAGAGTTACCCAGCCTCAGACCCTCGGCCCCTTCATTCCGAAGGAAATAAATCTGCTCCACCTATTGGTTTGGAAGAGCAAATGAAAAACGGTGTCGGAGCTACAGAGTGCATTGTTATTAAATGTAGTTGCATAATGTAAATTAAGCCAGTGGATACAGCAAAATGAAGTTTCTAGATTATTTAACTCTCTTTAAAATAACTGATAACTTGGGAAGAGAAACCCTTGGAGCGCGAGAATTTGTTGACACTCTTAAGACCTTTGATAACTTCATAGTAGCCTCTACTGTTACAAATGAAGTAGCGAATATCTTAATGATTCCATTACATATAAAATCTGCTTACCAGATTTGCTACCCCCGCCCCTTGAGGTCTCAGAAATGTTTGGTGTCCAATAAGTGGTTTTTTTTTTTTAAGTATAGTATTTTTTTTTTATTGGAGAGAATGTATTTGATTGTTAAAATAAAAACGTTACGCAATAGATCTTGCCTTAAGTCTCTGTAGCAACCACTGGGAAACTGGCAGTTAAAAGTAGAAAAACATCTGAATTACATAGATGTGTGGTGAGTGTTGTAATTTGTCATAAAAATGGTATTTTTTAAAGTTAACTTTATAATCTTGCCCCTTTGATGTCAGGTATTTTGTAGTATAATAATCAGAATGTCTTCATGTGGAAAATTAATGGCTGTAATTGTTTTTGCATTAAAAATGCATTTTGGGGGGATAAATACAGTATATCATTTTTGTGAAAATGCCTTAGAGTGTAAGCCATTTGTCTCTCTAGCAGGAGAGCGTAGTAGAAGATATCCTTCTGCACTGACTATACCTCCTGTGAAAAACACATTTGGCATAATTAATGCGTGCTATGGACAGTCTTTATATAATGATCATTTGTGTGTATGAGGAAAAGTTTAAAATTTTTATCTTATACATTACAAAAGGAAATATTTATAGAAATGCTTATTAAAAACTAAGTACCACAGTTATGTTTTTAAATTTTATATTTAGATAACGTGGCATTTTCAAACCTTATGGGTCTCAGTGGTTGTTGGTTCATTTTGCTCTCTTTAGGAATATTTTGTTTACTAATTCATATAAATTAAATGACATAGGAAAAAATTAATTTTATTTTGAATCAATGAAATCAGTTCTAATATGTATGCACAAGTAAAAAAAACTAAAGTAGGCTACGTGGTAAATCTTACCTGCTTTTGAAATACAGAAAAGAGTTCACAGAAGAGAAAAAAAAAAAATCACCTTTATTCTCAAGGAAATACTAGCAGTTATTTCTTCTAAATCGATGATCCCTGAAGTTTTTTTTGATGAAATACTGTTTAAAATCTTTATATTTTTATTGAGAAGTCCAGACAATATTGTATTGATACAATGCTTTGAGCTGTAATACTGTAGTTTAAATGGATTTATTGGCAGTTCAAAAAGAGAGAATAAAGAGGTTATTCAACATTTATAAAAGTGACTTGATGTGACCTCTGAAGTATTATAATAAATAGTATAGTTTATATATAGTGGACTAAAATTGGGTGGATTTAGGTAGTTTTCTTTTTCCTATCAAAGGTTTGTTTTGCTGTCACCTAAGTTCAGTTCCTAAAAGCACTGTTTATTTGCGTTAGTCTTTTGTGCATGATTTTAACCACTTTATCTTAATCTGGAACGATAACTAAAGAAAAATGAAAAAATTAAGCATGTAGTGCTTTAAATTGAGTTTTATTGGTTAATTTTTTGTTTTTTCCCATTGTGGGCAGTTGAGAGAGACTACATATGTACCTGTTTCATTCTCCCCTGTGTATACCGCTCCTCTCCCAAATTTTCTTCCAGCACTGACCCAGTATTAGGTCAATGGTATCAGATTAATTTTCAACCTCATTGTTCTCACCACAGACCATTCCTGGCTTCTGAGATTAATAATGTTTTTGATATATTTATTTTTGTGAGGAATGATTTATATAGAAGTTTCTCTCTCCCTTTCTCATCCTACTAGTTTCCCTAAAACTCCCTGTCCCCATAATATTTCTGTATATAGGTAGAGTTCCCTGCTGCCAATGATGTTTAGAGAAACTTCAGTGAAATGACTCTTCAAGAATTGGTGCATCAGGCTGCCTCCATTTATTCAGATAAAATAGCTGTATGTTTTGATGAGTGCAACAACCAGCCTCCAGTTTATTACACCTATAAGACTGTGGTTAATGCTGCTTCAGAATTATCAAATTTCCTGCAATTACACTGTACCTTTCAAGGAATTCGGGAAGTTGGTCTCTACTGCCATCCTGGGATAAACTTACCCTCTTGGATTTTAGGGTAATTGTTTTAATATTAAATTTTTAGTTTTCTAATTTATAATTCTTTAATACATAGAATATGTTGTAACTTACTATTCTGTTTACTATTTTATTTTTATGTATTGCTTGTTAGATTTTAGGCTAAAGGAATTCATATTTATCCCAAGATTATTATTTTTCTTAAAGATTTATGAAATTCTTAAAGATTTATTTGACAGAGCACAAGCAAGGGGAACAGGAGAAACAGACTCCCCGCTGAGCAGGGAGACCGATTTGGGGCTGGTTCCCAGGACCCTGGGATCATGACCTGAGCTGAAGGCAGACGTTTAACCAACTGAGCCACCCAGGTGCCCCTACCCCAAGATTATTTTTAATCATTTAAGTTAGTTAATCTGAGTTTATGTAGGAGAGACCAGAAGTTTTCGCTAATAGAACACTTAAATATCTTCAAGATATAAGGGCTTCATTTGTCTGCCAAAAGAAAACAGTCATAAATTCTGTTATATCAGAGAAAACAAGTATTTCAGAAATATTGTAACTTTTTTTCCCCTGAGACTGAAGTTCTAGGTATTCAGTAAGTGAGTGAATTAATAAATGAAAGTTTTGAATGATGGTTCATAAAAATTGAGCTATGAACTGAGGAAGACACTAATTAAAAAAATCATTTGCAAAATGTTCATTAAGTTCTAGAATATTATCCTTATATAGTGATTTCTGTACTTGAGTTCTGCAGTAAATAAGAGCTGCTAAAGAATTAGAAAAGTTGATATTCATCCCATGGGATGTGTGTTAGTAGATTAATTGTATAAATGTAAAGCAAAAAAAGTTAAAATTTTACTTTCATCCAATCATTGACAAAATTTTATTGAGAATTTCCTACAAAAAGCTATTGTCTCTAAAGTATACCTCAAAGTGCTTTTTTTAAATTTTATTTTGAAGTAATCTTTGCATCCAAAGTGGGGCTCAAACCCACAACCCCAAGATCAAGAGTCCTATGCTCTACCAACTGAGCCAGGCAGGTCCCCCTACGTGAAAGTACTTTTAGTTAAAACAACTAATTTTGGATCTTTATTGCCACTTAAAAATCAGTTTTAAAGTTGTTTCCCTCCCCCTTAAGGTATCCTGGATTTGGTGAAATGTCATTTTTAGTATAGATTGTATTAATCTGCATACTAGTAAGTTACATATGGATATTTAGCTTATGTTATCTTAGTTAGATGAAGAAACAAGACTCTGCTACCTATTTGGTATTTTAGTAGTAGTGTTAACCAAGTATATTCTACTGTAATACATTAGCTTTAAAAAAATCTTGGATTTCTGTATATTAAGTGATAAAAATTTAATAACGGATATTCGGTCTTAAAGACATAATAAAAATAACTGTAACCAAAGATCTGTCAACAAAATTATTGGGCATTTCTGATATAGTCAACAGTAAAGTACGTAGAGAAATACTTAAAGATGATTTTCAACAGATCTTCTATGCTGACTCTGTACTGTTTCTTTAGAATTCTCCAAGTCCCTGCTGCTTATGCTCCTCTTGATCCAGATGCACCACCAGCATTATCAACTCATTTTATGAAAAAATGTAATCTAAGTTATATTCTTGTTGAAAAACAGCAAATTCATGTAAGTGTGTGTATTTAAATTGTTTTTTGGTTTTTTTTTTTTTTAAAGATTTTATTTATTTGACAGAGAGAGACATAGCGAGAGAGGGAACACAAGCAGGGGGAGTAGGAGAGGGAGAAGCAGGCTTCCCCGCGGAGCAGGGAGCCCGATGTGGGGCTCGATCCCAGGGTCCTGGGATCACGACCTGAGCCGAAGGCAGATGCTTAACGACTGAGCCACCCAGGCACCCCTAAATTGTTTTTTTTATGTGTTATGTTTATTTTTCAGTTGAAGGTTGTGTGTCTGTCCGTCCATGTCCACCTTTTCTAACTCTGCAGTTTTTCAGTCTCAGCACTTTTGACATTTGGGTTGGGTAATTGTTGTGAGGAGTGTCCTGTATATTATAGGTTGTTTTAGCAACATCCCTGGTTTCGACCCCCTGGATGCCAGTAGCACCCTCCCCGCCCGAGTTGTGACAGCCAAAATTGTCTCCAGAAATTACCAGATGTCTCCTGGAGGCACCCTTTACCCCCTACAATCTGTTGAGAAACACTGCTCTATAGCATGAACGTGTGTTCTAGATGTATAATAAGGTACTGCATTGTTTCGAATTTCCTTTCTCTTTCCAAAGTTGTTTCTATACTAGGAAAATTTTATAATACTTGCCACAAATATAAAAGATAAGTGTTTTAATTTACAGTGGTCAACAACATTAAAGAATTATAACCAGGCTTAAATTTTGAAAAAGAGATTAGCACTTAGACCAGACTTCTCTGGAAAACTAAATTTATTTTTTAATTTTTTAAATGACTGCCAACCAAATACCTAGCCAAGGAACACTGCTTTATAGGTAATATTTGGTGTTAGGTGTTCAGCAAAATGCATCCCATGTTTCATTATTTTATTTGTAAAATATTTTTACCAAAGAGGAATAGAACATTATAGAACATATATTTAATTTAGCCTGTTTTTACCCTTTTCCTATTTGAACCAATTTATATTTGAGGGTAACTTAAATACATCCACCTATGTATCTGTATGTGTGTGCATCTCTGTATATATAACAAAAAATATCAAGAGCTTGAGATATATGGAGGACTTCCTAGAGAATCACGGGTATTAAAGTCTCTAGAAAGAGACAACTGAGGTATAATAGGCTAATATAATGGGTTAATATTCTCTAAATAAACCTATTCATGTCTAGTCAAAAGTTTTCTTCTCAAATTGGTTATTTCTCTGTTGATGTAAGCAAAACTAAAACGGATGTGACATTTTTCTTTTTTTTTTTTTTTTAAGATTTTATTTATTCAACAGAGAGAAGGAGCACAAAAGCAGGGGGAGCAGCAGAGGGAGAGAGAGAAGCAGACTCCCCAGTGAGCGAGGAGCCCAATGTGGGGCTCGATCCCAGGACCCTGGGATCATGACTCGAGACGAAGGCAGACTCTTAACCAACTGAGCCACCCAGGCGCCCCGACATTCATTTTTCTTAACCTTGGTGAAAGTTTTATAAAATAGGTGGTTGGGTATGAGAATTGTCAGTATCAGGTATTCTTTCTAACTGCTTATAAGGAGTTGGGCACATAGAAAATCCCCTAGAAAGTACCTTGCTTCCTGTTCCATGACTTTGATGTAAGTGTTCCTCCTTAACACATGAGCAATCAAATATTTATTGAGCATATATAATATGCTCAGCATCCACTAGGGCAGTGGTTCTCAGTTTTTTATAATGCTGTCAGTAGGGGCACCTGGGTGGCTGAGTTGGTTAAGCAGCTACCTTCTGCTCAGATCATGATCTCAGGGTCCTGAGATCGAGCCCCGCATCGGGCTCCCTGCTCAGCGGGAAGTCTGCTTCTCCCTTTCCCACTCCCCCTGCTAATGTTCCCTCTCTCGCTGTGTGTGTCTCTGTCAAATAAATAAATAAATAAAATCTTAAAAAATCAGTTGTTGAGGTTTACTGGACATACAATAAAAATCACCAATTTTATGTGTATATTTTGATGAGTTTTGACAAATGTAAACAGGGAAGCCAGTCACACCACACCTGACCCCTAATATACAACAACAAACAAACAAAACACTATAGGCTCTTGCATTGTGACCTTTTTCTCTCATTTCTCTTATTTTTCTCTCAGTTGTCTTTTTTTTTTTTAAGATTTTATTTATTTATTCATGAGAGACAGAGAGAGAGAGAAGCAGAGGGAGAAACAGGCTCCCAAGGAGCAGGGAGCCCGATGTGGGACTCGATCCCAGGACCCTGGGATCATGACCTGAGCTGAAGGCAGACGCTTAACCATCTGAGCCACCCAGACGCCCCTCTCAGTTGTCTTTTATAGTAATTTCTTTGATGTGAAAACTTGTTATGTTTCATTAAGCTGCTTTTTATCAACCTAAAAAGGTATATTCAAAGGAGCCTCACTTTTAGCATGTAAAAATTGAATTTAGCATCTTTTTATCCAAATTAAGTAAATCTGTATTAATCTATCTTCATCTACCAAATACCTGAGCCAGAAACTCTGCAGTCTTCTTAGACTCACTCTGTATCCAGAGAGTTACACAACCCCATTGACTCTTGCTCATAGGCTCTGTCTGTCCACTCTTGTTGCAACAGACTAGTTCAGGCCTTATATGCATATCCCAGTTGTTGCAAAAGTTTCATTAGAAGACCCTCACTTATCAAAAATCTTACCAATTACCAGTCTGTCCTTGATGGAGTAAAGTCTAGACTATGCTGTTGCCACCTTCAGTTGGATCTCATTGCTTATAAGGTGCTTATAAGGTTAAGGTGTAAACTCATTAGTATTGAGTATATACAAAGTTATTAAGGATAGCATCTCCTCTTCTACTTACCTTCTCCCTCTCCCCCAGTTCTTCAGCTTATTGGAATGGTTAACATTCTCCACAACATTAGCTTTCTCAGGTCATATACTCTGCATTAGGTGGTTTGAATAATAAAGTACTCCTCTTCATTTGGACAAAAGCTTCTTATAACCCAAATATTACATATGATGTAGCAATCTCAGACCTTCCAGACAGAGTTAAATTCAGTCTCCTCTATTCCCATTAACATTTCAAGCATATTCATTGTCATAGTTGCCCTACAGTTGTATGTTTTTATGTCTTTTTATTTTGAAGGTGACATTGAAAATAAAGACAGCATTTTATTCTTGCAGGTTTTGTGTTTTTTTTAATTTTATTTATTTGACAGAGACAGCAAGAGAGGGAACACAAGCAGGGGAAGTGGGAGAGGGGGAAGCAGGCTTCCTGCCGAGCAGGGAGCCCGATGTGGGGCTCAATCCCAGGACCATGGGATCATGACCTGAGCCGAAGGCAGATGCTTAACGACTGAGCCACCTAGGCACCCCTATTCTTGCAGGTTTCTAATTTATTTTTTTAATCCCTAGTTATATAGAAGTACTCAAAACCATGTTGAAGGAGTAAATGAATACTTTGTATTACTTCTATGTAAAAAAGAACCTCTTTTAACATATTTATACTGTGAACTTTGTTCCCCATGTAACAGAAATTCAAATCTTCCTATGAAGTATTATTGAATTATGATACACTTAAAGAACATAATGACCTAGTGCTCTTCAGACTTCACTGGAAAAATGTTGAAGGGAGCTTGATGCTAAATGACAGAAAACAGAAATATGAAAAAGAAAAAATGGCAGACAGCACAAATTCTGGGAACAGCAATGAAGAAAAGTCAGATGAGCACCTGGATGTGAGGCTAAATCATTGCCTGGCCTATGTTCTCCATACATCAGGCACTACAGGGATACCTAAGATTGTCAGAGTCCCTCATGCATGTATAGTGCTGAACATCCAACATTTTCGGTGAGTTCTGTCCTTCAAATCCTTCTTCAAAACTTGTATTTTAAAGTCAGAGAAAGACATGTATCATATGACCTCACTGATATGAGGAATTCTTAATCTCAGGAAACAAACTGAGGGTTGCTGGAGTGGTGGGGGGTGGGAGGGATGGGGTGGCTGGGTGATAGACATTGGGGAGGGTATGTGCTATGGTGAGCGCTGTGAATTGTGTAAGACTGATGAATCACAGACCTGTACCTCTGTATAAGTACCGTGCGCTAACCGATTGCGCCACTGGAGCTCCACAGACCTGTACCTCTGAAACAAATAATACATTATATGTTAAAAAAAAGGAGAAGATAGTAGGAAGGGAAAAATGAAGGGGGGAAAATCGGAGGGGGAGATGAACCATGAGAGACGATGGACTCTGAGAAACAAACTGAGGGTTCTAGAGGGGAGGGGGGTGGGAGGATGGGTCAGCCTGGTGATGGGTATTAAAGAGGGCACGTATTGAATGGAGCCCTGGGTGTTATACGCAAACAATGAATCATGGAACACTACATCAAAAACTAATAATGTAATGTTTGGTGATTAACATAATAAAATTAAAAAATAAAAAAAGAAAGAACTTGTATTTTAAAGGGGAAAAACATTTTTTTAAGGATTTTTATTTATTTATTTGATAGAGAGGGAGAGCACAAGCAGGGGGAGTAGGAGAGGGAAAAGCAGGCTCCCCGCTGAGCAGAGAGCCTGATGTGGGCCTCTCTCCACAGGTCTGTGGGATCATGACCCGAGCCGAAGGCAGACACTTAACCAACTGAGCCATCCAGGCACCCCGAAAACATTTTTATAAGTAAACTACCCCCGATGTGGGACTTGAACTCATTGCATGTTCTACCAACTGAGCTAGCCAGGCAACCCAAGGGAAAAATTTAATTTTTATTTATTTTTAAATTATTTGAGAGAAAGAGAGAACAAGCAGTGGGGAGGAGTAGAGGGAGAGGGAGGAGCAGACTTCCTGCTGAGCAGGGAGCCTGACACTGGGCTTTATCCCAGGACTCTGGGATCATGACCTGAGCTGAAGGCAGACGCTTAACCGACTGAGCCACCCAGACACCCCCAAGGGAAAAATTTTAATCTCTATTCTTTATAACTTTTTTCTAAAGATTGAGTCATTTATTTGAGAGAGCACGCACGTTGAGTAGGGGGGAGGGGCAGAGGGAGAGAGAATCTCAAGCAGACTCCCCGCTGAGTGCGGAGCCCAACGTGGGGCTCAATCTCATGACCTTGAGATCTTGACCTGAGCCAAAATCAAGAGTTGGACGCTTTAACTGACTGAGCCACCCAGATGCCCCTGTTTTTTAGAACCCTTGTTCCTAAATTGATAGTCATAAGTAATTGGGGCTCTTGTTTTGGCTATATCTAAACTTTAATTCTTTGCAGGCTAGGACTTCACCTCTCTGATCCAGACCTGGAGCCAAACAGGGAGCAAATAAATAATGGTTGAAGCTTTGCTTCTTAATTATTAATAAGGGAGTGTATTCCTGGTAGAGGTACAGCAGACATATGGGAGAAAGAAGTTTGGCTTGCTAGAGTGTATCAGGGCAGAGCTGAGGAAGGAGTGGGAGGGCAGGAGCCATGTGACCTGAGGGGGCAGGAGCCTGGTATGCCCTGTTGAAGAATTTTGCACTTATCCAGTAGATGTAAAAAGATTTGCGCTCATTACGTTCGTTCCTATAGCATTGTAGAATTTGGTTTGCTCATCAGGAGATGAGAAATCTCTATGAAGTCGATTCTTAGATTGAGAAGAAGGAAAGAGAAGAGGAAGGGAACCAAAGGAGAGTAGCCTTAGGAAATCAAAAGGGGAAACAAACAAGTATAGAAACTTTGTGACATATATTTTTATGTCATTTTAAGTTTTATATAATTAAAAACTTTCTAACAACCACATTTTAAAAGTACAAAAAAATAAGAGGGGTGCCCGGGTGGCTCAGTCAGTTAAGCATCTGACTCTTGATTTCAGCTCAGGTCATGATCTCAGGGTCGTGAGATTGAGCCCCGAGTCAGGCTCTGTGCTGGGTGTGGAGCCTACTTAAGATTCTTTCTCTCCCTCTGCTTCTCTCTCTCTCTCTCCCTCTCCCCCCTACCCTGAAAAAAAAAAAAAAAAAGGTAGAAATAAAATTTAACAATACCTTATTTAATTCAGTATATCTAAAATATCAATAATGTAATCAATATGAAAATTAGTGAGGTATTTTACACCCTTTTATGTTTATCTTAAATCTAGCGTGTATTTTACACTTACACATCTCAATATGGATTAGCCACATTTTTAGTGCTCAATAGGCACATGTTTCTAGTGCCTACCATACTGGACAGTGCAGGTCTAGAAGAAGGGCATGGTGAAATGAGGCAGAGAGGAGTCTTGTAATTGATAATCTGGTCTTTAGTGACTTTATTTCCGAGTGCCCAACACTGAGGACAGAGTACATTAGGCTGGGAATAAGGGAATGAGAAATAAGGAAATGGAGATAATAAAGTGTTCATTTCTAGGAGCTAGTTTTAATGGGAAAGAAAGAATTCTCGGAGGGTATAGGTTTATCTTTAAGATGGGAGACTGGGGTGCCTGAGTGGCTCAGTCAGTTGAGTGTCCCACTCTCGATTTCCCCTCAGATCGTGATCTGAGGGTCGTGAGATCGAGTCCCATATTGGGCTCTCCACTCAGTATAGAGTCTGCTTGAGATTCTTTTTCTCCTTCTTCCCCTGTCCCTTTTCACACACACGCTGTCTCTCTCTCTCTCAAGTAAAATCTTAACCAAAAAAAAAAAAAAAAGGAGGGGCGCCTGGGTGGCTCAGTTAAGCGGCTGCCTTCGTTCAGTCATGATCCCAGGGTCTGCTCAGTGGCGAGCCTGCTTCTCCCTCTCCTTTTGCCTGCTACTCTGCCTACTTGTGTGTGCGCGCTCTCTCTCTCTCTCAAATAAATTAAATACAATCTTGCTCTCAGATAAATTAAATACAATCTTCAAAAAAAAGATGGGAGACATTAATAGGCTGATGGTAGAGAATTGGTAGGGAAAATTGGTTTGAAAAATCAAGAAATAGTGTTGTAAAGGAGTAAGATACTTTGAGATGGAAGGGTAAGGAATGTTAGAGGAAGCTGATGGATTGTAACTTCCTAGGCAACAGAAAGCAAAGTCATGTGTTAAAGAGTATGAGAGGTGAGGTGGGATGGAGATGCAGGGAACTTGAAGAGTGGAGCAGATTTGGAATCTAGTGGAGATGGGAGAGGCACTGGGCCAACAGAGGCAGGAATTATGTATAAAGTGGGAACAGGTATGTGCCCAATGAGGGATAAGGGGCTGATTTATTTTTTTATTTAAAAAAATTTTTTTGACAGCACGGGAGAGGGAACACAAGCAGGGGGAGTGGGAAAGGGGGAAGCAGGCTTCCCTCTGAGCAGGGAGCCCCATGTGGGGCTTGATCCCAGGACTCTGGGATCATGACGTGAGCCGAGGGCAGATGCTCAACGATTGAGCCACCCAAGCGCCCCAAGGGGCTTATTTAAAGTATAGGAATTTCTTGATTGCTATTTGTGCTTGAATTTAATGAAATTCATTTACCTGTTAAAAATCCCTTTTTGGTTTACTTTCAGGGCCATAAAAGTCACTGCAGAGGGAATTTATAGTAAGTTCACACTTGGTTTCCTTCCTGGGAATAAAAGCCACTCTGAAGAAGGAATTTATGGCAACTTCATTTCCCAGAAGTTTTTATGAGTAGTCCTATAAGGGAAGCTCTAAGAAGGCTTCTTTCCACATCTGTTAAATCCAAAATGTCCTCAGCTCAAAGTAGTCTTCATATCAACTCTGGGGTTCCGAGTTGGTCCCCACAATACCATACTTTAAGATATTTTGAAGTTAAGGTAATGCCTGCTTTTTAGATAGAGTGGGTTTTATGTATTCAAAATGAAGCCATGCCATAGGCTTGCTACTGCCTATCTAATACTCTGTAATATCCTAACTACATATATTCTGCTCTTTGTTCAGCTGCTGAGAGAAAAGGCCAAATAGTAGGAAAAGGGAGTCAGGTCTCTATTAAGCATCATTAAGTAAGTAGGATAGAAGAAGTCAGGTTTCTACCAGAAAAGCAGAACCAGGAGGATATATCAGGGACTTGCTATAAGGAATTGGCTTATGTTTGTTGGGGCTAAGCAAGACTGAAGTCTGTAGTATAAATAGAAAGGGATGATCATGAGCAGACTGGAACCCCATAGGCATGTGTTTGTTCACAGGCAAGTCAGGAAAGATCTAGGGGGGAAGAGAGTAATTGTAGACCCAGATGCTGTGTCTCTTTCAGAGAAGGCCTAACACTCTTTAAAGGCCTTCCAGTTGAGTAAATTGAGTTAACCCAGGATAATCTCCCTTTTGATTAAAGTCAGCTGAGTAGGGACTCTGTCTACAAAATCCCTTCACAGCAGGACCTGGGTTAGTGTTTGACGGAATAACAGCGAGGTGTGTGTTCTACTAAATGGCACCTGCCTCCCTCTGTCCTCCATGTCTTTTTTTTTTTTTTTTAAGATTTTATTTATTTATTTGAGAGAGAATGAGAGAGAGCACAGGAGAGGGGTTAGAGTCAGAGGGAGAAGCAGACTCCCCGCCAAGCAGGGAGCCTGATGTGGGACTCGATCCAGAGACTCCAGGATCATGACCTGAGCCGAACGCAGTCACCCAGCCAGCTGAGCCACCCAGGCACCCTGTCCTCCACGTCTTGAGAGAGAAGGTCCTTTCTTTTTTACCCTAACAGAAAACATACTAGAAAGGAAATTCTGGGGACTGTCGTTTAATCCAACCACACTTACACATCAGAACACCATCACAGATGATAAAATATGTCATGGTAAGAAGTGGATATTTTTATTTATTTATTTTTAAGATTTTATTTATTTGACAGGGAGAGAGACAGCGAGAGAGGGAACACAAGCAGGGGGAGTGGGAGAGGGAGAAGCAGGCTTCCTGCGGAGCAGGGAGCCTGATGCGGGGCTCAATCCCAGGACCCTGGGATCATGACCTGAGCCAAAGGCAGACACTTAACGACTGAGCCACCCAGGCGCCCTAAGTAGATATTGCTTTAAATGGCTTTTAATCCTTATATTCATAAAGAACAGTTCTAGAATTAATAGCACCATTTTGGTTAATCGACGAAAAAAAGAGTAAAAATCTGGCCAACATCCAGAAACTTAATGGTCATAATTTTTTAGGATATGTGATTACCAAATGTTAGACATTTCTCATAACTGCATTCTGTTTTGCCTTAGGGTACTTTTCGAGATCACACAGGAAGATGTTTTGTTTCTGGCTTCACCTCTGACCTTTGATCCTTCCGTTGTGGAAATATTTGTTGCTCTATCAAGTGGTGCCTGTCTGCTTATTGTACCAACTTCTGTCAAAGTGCTTCCATCAAAATTAGCTGCTGTTCTCTTTTCCCATCACAGAGTAACTATTTTGCAGGTACATTTCAGGGACAAATGAAATGCTTTGTCTTTTATTATTTAACATTTTTAAAGTTTTAGAGAATATTTTGTATTCCTGTAGTTTTTCACAGTAGGTTAATGATAATCTAGTAAGATTATTATGGGCTGTCTCCTGATGATACCACTTAATTTGCCTGAGAATGAAAAAAATTAATTCTATTTAGAAAATTACTGTCCATTTGGTACAATAATGACTAGAGGAAGTTGACCTTCACCCAAATCTTTTGGGATACACTGCCTCTCCTATCTTAAACTTTAGCTTTTGGTGGAAAACATAAAGTTGAAGTAAGTTAAATGATAATTAGTTAGGAATTTAGATTTTCTGACTTTTTATATCACTATATGTTACATTAACTTACAGAAACAAATCCTTAAGTTTGTCATTTTTAAAGATTTAAAAAAATATTTATCTGAAAGTATGTGACTGATGTTATGTTGCAAGTGGTTAAAGATACTAAAGAGAATTAACAAAATTATATGCAAATCATGATAAACTAAAAATAGCAGTTTTATATCTAGTGTAAGAGACTTGAGGATGTCCTAAAGGCAAAATCTGATATTGACTTTGTTTTTAGGAAGTTTTTCATCCTTAAAAAATATATATATGTATATATATTATATAATATATATATAACAAATATAGTAATGTGGCTTGATGGGTATATCAGTGCATATAAATTTTCAATCTCTGGTGATCATTCCATCAGTCTGGACAAGACTTTAATATAATTTATTTTCCTACAACATTCAAGGAGTATAATTTTCAAGAAACATTTGCAAAGTACCTTAGTAGATTTGAGAGATAGTTACTAAAGGAAAGGAGACTTTCCTTCTATGTCAAGTCAATGAGTTCTTTCTCTTTAAATCCGATCCCCTTGCTTAATGTTTTAGCACAGTCTCAGATAAATTTACTCTAGTAGTGGGTTTTAACCTTTTTGGGGTCCTAAATCTTTGAGAAACGGATATACATTTACTAACTCAGATCCCAAAACACAGCAAGTTGTGCATATAGTTTCATGGTGATTTTATTTAATTTACAATACTTAATTTGGAGTATTATCAGCAGATGAAATTTGAATTATTTTTGTTTTTAAAGCTTTATTTGAGAGAGATAGAGCACGAGCATGAGCAGGACGGGGAGAGGGAAAGAGAATCTCAAGCAGACTCCTCGCTGAGCACAGAGCCCAACCTGGGGCTCCAGCTCATGATTGTGAGATTACAACCTGAGTCAAAACTGAGTCAGACATGTAACTGACTGTGCCACCCAGGCACCCCCAAATTTTGAGTTTGAGGAAGGAAGAGAAGTACACAAGCTGACAGGCTATACTTTCCTCTTTATAAGGCATGTCCTCTCTTGTTAGAAGGTTGGGGAAGAAGAACTGTAAAGTATCCTCCAAACTGAGAAGGGACTTTGAGATGAAAAAACAAGGCAGGCAACTCCATACAGTTTACATAGTTTTATGAAGGTAACATATTGACGGGGAGGGATGGATGGATGATGATGTGGAGGGGTGCAGCTATTCTCTGCAAAGACCGGACCTTAGTCTACAGATTTTATAGACCAAAGGGATGTGTAGGGGAAGGCACTATAGTAAGATCAAAGGGTCTACATGTACCTGACAACTAATCTTTAATTAGATCTTGTGGCACCATCCCTGCCCCAGAAAGGGGAGAGAATGTGTTATCTTGAACAAATTTATGGAGGGCCAAAGCAAGCCTCCCCCTCCCCCTATCCTGGCCTCAGTGGGCATTGCTAAGCTACGTATATTAATCTCCAAAGGTCCTGTAACACTTAGCCACCTGTGTGAACAAGATCTCATTTAACTGCCCACATGAACAAGATGGAGTGCTAAGATGGATTCAGTATTGTCGGATCTCTTATGTCTCATAGTGAGGCATTTGTTGTTAGGGTTCATTTTTTCCTTCCAAAGTCAAATTTCTTATCAAATGATATATAAGTCATTAAGGATTTTTGCCTTTTTGCCTATATAATAGATATTCTATACTTAAAAAAGAAAGCTTCCTGTATAGATTTTATTTATAAATAATAATGTTACCTAAAAACCTAATTGGATATATTTTAAGATTGTATTTGAGAGTGAGGGAAAGTGACAGGGGTGAGGGACAGAGGGAGAAGCAGACTCCCCACTGAGCAGGGAGTCTGATTCAGGGCTTGATCCCGGGACTCCGGGATCTTGACCTGAACCCAAGGCAGACGGTTAACCAACTGAGCCACCCAGGCGCCCCCTAAATGGATATTAAGCAAGGATCTTAACAGGTTAAAAGACAGTACATGCTCTATTAAGGTTTTATTTTATTTATTTATTTATTTATTTTTAATTTTTAAAATTTTTTTTAAAGATTTTATTTATTTATTTGAGAGAGAGAATGAGAGACAGAGAGCATGAGAGGGAGGAGGGTCAGAGGAAGAAGCAGACTCCCTGCCGAGCAGGGAGCCCGATGCGGGACTCGATCCAGGGACTCCAGGATCATGACCTGAGCCGAAGGCAGTCGCTTAACCAACTGAGCCACCCAGGCGCCCCTATTTTATTTATTTTTTTTAAGATTTTATTTGTCAGAGAGAGAGAGCACAAGCAGGGGGAGTGGCAGGCAGAGGGAGAGGGAGAAGCAGGCTCCCACTGAGCAAGGAGCCCGATGCGGGGCTCGATCCCAGGATCCTGGGATCATGACCTGAGCTGAAGGCAGACACTTAACCGACAGCCACCCAGGTGCCCCTTTATTAAGGTTTTAAAAATTAAAAAAGAACATCTTGATTTACTGTGGGGGAGAAAGGCCCCAAAGTGAAATGGACTAAGCTTTTGAGGAAATTAAAGACTGACTTTGTTTCAGGAATAAGGAATAAGGACCTTTTTGGTTTTTTACAAACCTAAAATACATTTGAGCTTTTTTTTTTTTTTTAATACTCTGGGTAGCAAAGTTATATTAAACTTGATGCCCTTTAAAAGTGAAGCCATTTAGGGGCGCCTGGGTGGCTCATTTGTTAAGCATCTGCCTTTGGCTCAGGTCATGATCCCAGGGTGCTGGGATCGAGCCCCGCATTGGGCTCCCTGCACCGTGGGAAGCCTGCTTCTCCCTCTCCCCCGCTGCTTGTGTTCCCTCTCTCTCTGTGTCTCTCTCTGTCAAATAAATAAATAAAATCTTTAAAATAAATAAATAAATAAAAGTGCAACCATTTAATTAGAGTGAAATCTCATGTTGCTAGCTACCAAAATGTCAGCATAATAATGTTTTTCAGTTTTATGTGAATTTTTCCTTAGAAATTTTGGAAGGAACCTTAACATTCCCTGTTTTATCTGTTATTTACTAAGTCCTATTTTTCTGTGCCTAGGATGATTTGGTAACAAAACATATTGACTAGAATTCTGCCACTAAATTTTATCATTTCAGTTTGAGTATCTGAAGAGTGTTACTATGCTTTATCATGCTGAATATTCATAGCTGTGCAATCATTTGTAGAGTTCAAAGTTGAAATAATTATCTTTAGCACCAGAAATTAGGCCAGAACATTTCTTTTTTTTTTTTTTTTTTAATTTTATTTATGAGAGCGAGAACAAGCGATCACGTGCACGTAGGGGGAGGGGCAGAGGGAGAGGGATAAGCAGACTCTGTGCTGAGCACTAAGCTCAACGCGGAACTCTTATCTCAGGACCCTGAGATCACGACCTGAGATGAAACCAAGAGTCAGATGACCAACCAACTGAGCACCCAGGCATGCCTAGAACATTTCATTTTGATAAGAGATTTTCCTTATGATAAAACTTGGTGGAACAGTTTACTTGATTTAGGATGCCTTATAAATAGAGTGGCCATTATAATTTATTACCAAAAAACCCAGAATCTTGAGAGTGAATGGAGGTGCTAAATTCCTAGACAGGAATCTGGAATAGTAAGTTTGTACTGGGATGTAGGGTCATCCTATTACTTAAATATTTTGACAAACCAAGACTTTAATCTTTTTGAATTAAAATTCAAGATGTCCATTAGGGCTGCTGCTAGCTTTTATTGAAAGAAACCATTTAAAAATCTTGATTCACGTGGAAATTTTCTATGGTCAAGTAAAGAGATTGGCAGATCCTCTCCCTGATAGAAAGCAACTATAAAGCTGGAGAAAATTGAAGGCAACTATGTCAACACTTTGGAAATAACCAAAGGCCTACAACTACCTGAAAAGTGTTTGTTTTTAAAAACTGTTGTGTTTTGCATAAAAATGGAATTCGTGGTATTCTAGACTAAGCTGTTCTCCCTGCCTCCCCCAGCACAGTCAAAACAGACTTTTCTGTCAGGGCCTTTTGCTCATAAGGGCGATTATTCAGTTTGGAATGGTAGGCTATGTCCATGCCCAAAAGCACTGTCTGTGGAAATGTTGAAGCAGTCCGGCATGGAGGGCCAAAAACTCCACTGGTTTGAGGTTGTGGTCACAGGGAGGGAAAGCACATTCTGGCTAAGGCTGTACTTGGGAATCAGACCAGAGGGCCCAAGCACATTCCTGGCTGACCTTGAGGGTATGTGCATGTACATTAGAGACACAAAAGGACCCATGGAGAATAAAAGCTGGATTAGGCTTGAAAGTGACCTAAACTTTGAGCTCATCTATCTATACACACAAATCCATCTCTGTGGACAGTCTGTCCAGTCGTTGCTCGACTACTGAGCTGTGCAGACACAAGGTGACTCGTAGGAAGTAAGACTTAAAAATGAAAAGAATATATATTTAAGGGGCACCTGGGTGGCTCAGGTTATGATCTCAGGGTCCTGGGATCGAGTCCCACATTGGGCTCCTTGCTTCCCTCCCCCCCGGCCCCCCACTCGTGTTCTCTCTCTCAAATGAATTTAGAAAAAAAAATACATATTTAAAAGAACAACTGAGCAATGACATTAGTGGCCACACATCACCAGGAAGACAGATTTTACAGATTTAATCCAGGCTAGTTAGTAACAAAGAAACAAGCAAAAAAGCAACAAGAACATTTCATAATGATAAAATGGCCAGTACATAAAGAGGTATGTTGTTGTATCAAGAAGATGTAACGATTATAAACGATTATCCACCTAAAAATGGAGGTTCCAAATACGTGAAGCAAAATGGACAGGATTGAAATGAGAACTAGGCAACCCAGTAGTTCAAAATTTTAATACCTCACTTTTAACTTTTAATACCCCAATTTTAATACCCCTAGGTCATGAAAAACTAAACAGAAATCAGAACATATAACATAGAAAACTTGAACATTTTCAGCCAAATTCCATTTATATTATAGAACACAATATTTAGTAAATGCAGAATATGCATTCTTTGCAAGCACATTGAACATTTTCTAGGATAGATCATATTCTCAACCACAAAACATGTTTCAGTAAATTTAAAATGTGACCAAGTGGCATTTATTCCAGGAAGACACACTTGGTTTAACATCCCCAAATCCACTGATAATTATGCTTTTTGTTCATTATTTATGTAGTATATATTAACAAATGCAGAAGTATTTGGCAAAACCCAACATGTGTGATGAAGGAAAAAACCTTAAGTAGGAATAGAAGAACTTCCCCAGTGTGATGAGGGGCATCTGCAAAAAACTACAGCTAACATCCTGTTTGGTGAAAGACTGACTGCATGCTTTCACCCTAAGATTGTAAACAAGACAAGGATGTTTGCTTTTGTCACTTCTCTTCATCATTACTCTGGTTGGTCCAGGCAGTGCAAAAAGGAAAAAAAAACAAAAACCCAACACGTTACTGATAGAAGTTAAAGAGTTCAATAAATGAAGAGACATTAAATGTTTGTGGATTGAAGTCTCAATATTGTCAAGATCTATAAATTAAACATGGTTCCTATCAAAATCCTAGTAGGCTTTTTGGGGTAGAAATTGATAAATTGATCCTAAATTTGTATGGAAATGCGAACGCTAGTCCTGATCTGTTCAATGGACTACTACTCAGCAATAAAGAGCCCCATGGTCTTGAGTGTCTGTGCCTCCCCCATTCGTTTGTTAAAATCCTAATGAACAACATAATAGTATTAGGAGGTGTGGCCCTTGGGAGTTTTTAGGTCATGAGGGTGGAGCCCTCATGAAAGGGATTAGTGCTCTCAGAAAAGAGACCCTACAGAGCTCCCTAGCCCCTTCCACCATGTGAGTATACAACAAGTTGGCAGCCTGTAACCTTGAAAGAGGGCTTTTACCAGAACCGGACCATGATGGCACCCTGATCTTGGACTTAAAGCCTCCGGAACTGTGAGAAATTTCTATTGTTTGTAACCTACCTAGTCTGTGGTATTTTGTTATATCAGCCTGAACTGAGACAAAAAGGGAATTGATAAATAAAACATAGGTGCATCACAAAATATTTATATGGAGTGAAGTCACGTCAAAACAATACATGGTGTGTGATTCCATTTTCATATAATTCTAGAAAATGCCAGCTGATCATTAGGAAATAGATCAGTGGTGGTCTGGAAAAGGGGTCCAGTCGAAGAGGGGGAGCGTTAACAGTGGTAATTTTAGGGCTGAAGAATATATTCATTATTTGGATTATGGTGATAGTTTCACTGATATATCTATATATCTGTATCTCAATTTATATTGTATGCTTTAAATATGTTCAGTTTATTTTATGTCAATTATACCTCACTAAAGCTGTTTTTAAAGATCTTTTTTCATATTGTTTAGAAACATTTTTTTAATCCTTTATATACTTTTTTCTACATAGAGATAATGGAAAAGGAAGTATGAACTGATTTTATATATTTTGTCCTTTTTATGTTTAAACCGTCTTGTCTAAACTATCCAATGAAGCATAACTAATATTTTTCTTAAGTTTTTTGCTAAAGCAAAATTGATATCTACATTAAGAAGGTAATGCTGCTTCAGGAGATTTCCAAAATGATTTATAATTTTATAAACACCACCTTAATTTCCATGTGGGTGCCCAGTGTTAAGCTTTGAACTAATTATTACAGTATTTACTTTTTTAAAGAAATTAAGGGAAATAAATTATCTTTAATATATTCACAGGCGACACCAACTTTGCTTAGAAGATTTGGATCTCAGCTTATCAAGTCAACCGTTTTATCAGCCAGTACTTCTCTTCGAGTATTAGCCCTTGGTGGTGAAGCATTTCCATCATTGACTGTTCTCAAAAGCTGGAGAGGAATAGACAATAAAACACAAATATTTAATATTTATGGTATCACAGAGGTATCAAGTTGGGCAACTTTTTACAGGATTCCAGAGCAGTTTCTTAATTCTACTTTGAAGTAAGGGTTTTAATTACTAAATAGACTAGAGAGAAACTGTATTTTTCCAGTATCTTAACATTAACACTAACAATGTTTTTGATAGGCACTGCAGTAGTAATTTTAGAAACTCTATTTTACCTAGAATTTTTATTTTTTAAATTTTTTTAGAGGGAGGGTGGGGGAGGGCACAAGGAGAGGGAGAGAGGATCTTTTTTTTTAAAGATTTTATTTATTTGAGAGAAAGATCGAGCAAGAGAGAGAGCACGAGGGGTGGGGGGCAGAGGGAGAGAGAGAAACAGGGTCCCCACTGAGCAGGGAGCCCAATGTGGGGCTTAGTCCCAGGACTCCAGGATCATGACCTGAGCCACCCAGGTGCCCCGGGAGAGAGAGAATCTTAAGCAGGCTCCATGCCCAGCATGGAGCCCAATCTCACAACCCTGAGATCATGACCTGAGCTGAAATCAGGAGTCAGTCGCTTAACTAACCGATCAACTCAGGCGCCCCTGTTTTATCTAGAACTTTAAGCTGGAGATCCAGAACCTTTCTTATAACTGGTGCTACAGATCCTGCTATAACTTTTTTGTGACTAAACAAAAATAAATAACCTATAATAACCTTTCCACCTAACCTTTTCCTCTTGGCAGTCTTTGAATTATAACATAACCAAAACTTTTTTTCTTTATTTAGTATGATGTGATTTAAGTACATTGGAAAATCTATTCAAATGAAAAATTTAAATGTGGTTTGGGTTGTTGTGTTTTCATAGATCTGAATTGCCGGTACCACTGGGATTTCCACTGCTTGGAACAGTAGTTGAAGTCAGAGATACTAATGGTTTCACAATTCAGGAAGGCCGTGGCCAAGTATTTTTAGGTGGTTTTACATTTGTTGATTGGGAATATCTCTTTTTTTCCCCCCCCAGAAAATAATCTATGTTAATTTTATTCTTTGATCAATTTCTTATGTCTGGTATTCTTTTTAATGATGATAATTTTTAATCTCATTCTCACAGTCATGAAACATTTAATATGTTACCATAATTATTTCAGATAACAGTGTTTGATACCCTTAGGGAAAATATAAAAGTAATGTAGAAATTGCAGGTTGGATCTTTATATTTATAGCCAAAATTCTCTATAATCAGTATTCTAAGAATTTTTTTAATCACATATATGTTTTTAGAAATCTTGTTTTATTCCTTTATTTTACTGAGGTTATTGTATTTAATTTTACCAGACAACATTTAAAAGTGTGCTGCCCCCTTTCCTTATAAATAATTCAAAATGTGAAACTTAGTAACTGAACTTTTGAAGATGTTCTTGATTTGATGGTTTTTAATATATTTTCCGTGGATTTTTTTTTTTATTACATTGGTGTTTATATCTTGTGAAGGTGGCAGAAACAGAGTATGTTTTCTTGATGATGAAATGACAGTACCACTTGGCATGATGCGAGCCACAGGAGACTTGGTGATGGTGAAAGATGGAGAGATTTTTTTCTTGGGACGAAAGGACAGTCAGATCAAACGACATGGCAAACGTCTTAACATTGAACTGGTGCAACAGGTAGAACTATTTAAATACTAAGTGTCTACTAACATATGTAGGTTTTAGAGGTAGCCTCCACCAGTTTTCTGTGCCAGCATTCTCTATTAATGTTATTTAAACCTAAGATTTTTTGTATTAATGATGGATTACGATAATAGGTATGGGTTATTCATACCTATTCCCAGCATGAAGAAAGAGTTGTTTTTTAAATAAGTGACAGAATGGATTTTGATAACTGTGAAAATAATGGTTTACTTTGCTCTGGGAGCAATTATTTTTGAAAAACAGGAAGAACCCAGTGTGCTGGTAATAGCAGTAGTAGCAGTTGATTTTTTTTAAGTGTCTAGTTATTTTACATTTTAATTCGACTGTGTTGATTTCAGACATGAGAAGTTTGAGCATTTATGAAGTTTGCTTTTAAATGTCCTCTGACAAATTGGGATAATTTCTCTCATAGGTTGCTGAAGGACTTCAGCAAGTGGAGTCTTGTGCAGTTACATGGTATAATCAGGAAAAATTAATTCTGTTCTTGGTGTCCAAAAATGATTTAGTAAAGGAATACATCTTTAAAGAACTGCAGAAACGTCTTCCAAGTCATGCAATCCCGGATGAACTTTTGTTGATTGATTCTCTACCATTTACATCTCATGGTAAAATCATTTGAAGCAGATATGTTTCAGTGCCAAATGAATACTAATTCATAACTAGTTTAAAGGCCTTTAAATCCTTATTATTCTAAGTAATATTAGCATATATTGTGGTAGACCTCTATTAAGTGCTTTGTATAATTAACTCATTTTATCTCTAGAAAATCCTGTGAGTAGGTAGTATAATTCCCATTTATAGATATGGAAAATAAGGCTTAAAGAGGTTAAGTAATTTTCACAAAATTACATTGCTGGTTAATGGTAGAGTTGAAATTCTAAGACTTTTCGATTTCAAAACATGTTCTTAATGACGATATTGCCTTCCCAGTTTCATCTTTATTTAATATTTACATCAAAATGCAGTAATTGTTCCATTAATAGGACCATTTTTTAACTCTTTAAATAAGATAAACATTAGCTCCTCCTTTCTTACTACCCATTACATTCTTGGTAGCGTGGGCTTACGTTCTTTAGAATTGATTATCTTTCACAAACTATAAGAATTCAAACTTTGACACTGAAAAATGTGTGGATTCTTATGACTAATGAAGATAGGGTTTGAACTGAAATTTTAAAATAATTTCTCTTTTTAGGCAAAATTGATGTTTCAGAGTTAAACAAGATATATTTAAACTATTTAAACTTGAAGTCTGAGTGCAAACTCAATGGAAAAGAGGAACTCTGGGGAAAATTACAGTATTTGTGGAAGGTATAACTTTTAAGATATAAATTTGTTATTATAAAGAAGTCATGTTATATCTTTTGGGACTGTTAACATCCTAATACGGCTGATAAAGTTTTCTAAGAATGTTATTGATGCCCAAATGTTAAGTAATGTTAAGTAATATACCATTGTTTTTTCAATTTGTATTAAAATAAGGATTAGGTTCTCTACTGTAAGATTAAGCTCCCCATAAAGAAATTTATTAGAAGTGAGGTAGACAGGGATGCCTGGGTGACTCCGTCGGTTAAGCATCTGCCTTCAGCTCAGGTCATGATCCCAGGGTCCCAGGTTGGAGCCCCGCATTGGTCTCCCTGCTCAGCGGGGAGCCTGCTTCTCCCTCTCCCTTTGCCCCTCCCCCCATGTTCTCTCTCTCTCTTTCTCTCTCTCAAATAATCTTTAAAAAATAAAAATAAATTAATTTGAAATATGTATATATTACAACCATAGGTCACTACAGTTTTTCTTAGATAAAATGTGGAGCTTTCTGAAGGGTTCTGAAAAAAGGATGTAATTATATAGTCTTGTTTGAAAGTAAAAGATAGCTTGGTAAGTCTCATTTCATTCTTAGATTCTTGGAATATAATTTGATTTAGTGAAGCAAATGAATATAAATATTGTTCCCATATTATAGAAATATCAGATATTAGTATTTTGTGGAGTTTATAATTAGTAAATCATATTTTTATAATTCTACTCGCTATTTTATGGGTAGGAAAAGTGCTCTAAAGGGAGATAAAACTTCTGGTTTTAGAGTGAGTTTGTGACAAAATTGGTAGCATAGTGATCATCTCCTTTATTATAAAGAAAATACCTTTAAAGTTTATTTTAATTAACAAAATATTTGTGTGTCTTTTGTTCATATCATTAATGTAAGTACTATGCTGTATATATTACCTATAAATTGGTTGAATTGTTTTGGTTTTGGGCCTTTACTTCACCATATTTCTCCCTTTTCTCATCTATAGTCTATTCTGAATCTCTCAGAAGATCCTTTGAAGGTTCCTGATGAGTCACTCTTTTTAAATAGTGGTGGAGATTCCTTAAAGTCCATACGGCTCCTCAATGAGATTGAGAAACTAGTTGGCACATCAGTACCTGGGCTTCTGGAAATTATTCTAAGCAGTTCCATTTTAGAGATTTACAATCACGTACTTCAAACAGTGTTTCCAGATGAAGATCTGGTATTTAGCAAGAATTATGCCACTAAAAGAAAATTCAGCGACATTAATCAAGAAGAAACCAGTGGAGGATCTTTACATCAGAAATCTGTCATGACGTTAAGTTGTGACAATGAGCTAACTGCTTTTACTGCAGTGAGCAGAGGGAGTCAGATTTTGTCACTGAATACTAAATTTTTAACTAAGTTAGGACTTTGCTCTTCAGCCCATTCTTCTGAATTAATTTCACAAACTAATATTCAAAATGTGAAAAGCTTAAATCCTTCAGCTCTTACTGGGAAGTCGAAAGACCCATCCCATGTTGCAGAAGTTTCTGAAGAGGGAACATATGTAATAGCAGCCAAGAAAATGGAGCTACATGTGAGATGGAGGTCAGACACAGGCAAATGTGTGGATGCTTCACCTCTAGTTGTAATCCCCGCTGTTGATAAGTCATCCGCAACTGTGTACATTGGCTCCCATTCTCACAGAATGATGGCAGTTGACCTTCACTCTGGGAAGGTGAAATGGGAACAGATTTTGGGAGATCGAATTGAATCCTCAGCATGTGTATCTAAGTGTGGAAACTTTATTGTAGTAGGTAAGTTTCTGAATTTGAGGTTTATACAGTTAAACTTAATTACCATATGATAATGCTAGTACCAGCAAGTTAAATTTAAAAACTTATGTATGGTGGGTTTGGTGGTTGTTAAAGAGTAATGGTTGGGGCACCTGGGTGGCTTAGTCGTTAAGTGTCTGCCTTCGGCTCAGGTCATGATTCCGGGGTCCTGGGATTGAGCCCCATGTCAGGCTCCCTGCTCTGCAGGAAGCCTGCTTCTCCCTCTCCTGCTCCCCCTGTTTATGTTCCCTCTCTGGCTGTCTCTCTCTCTCTGTCAAATAAATAAAATCTTTAAAAAAAAAAAAAAGAATAATTGTTAGCCACATGCTAATTCAGTGTGGGCCTTGGGTCCTAGTCTCTGGATTTGAACCTAGCTCTAAAACTGTTCTCAGCTCTGTGAACTTTGACAAGTTGCTGAAACCTCTTAGGACCTCATGTGTTCTTATGAGTATATGTGTATAATAAATAAAACATGTTGCATTGTAAATTGTCCCAAAACTTAATGGTTTAGATTAAGTAACAAACACGTACCAGTTTCTGAGGTCAGAAAGGAGCAGCTTAGCTGGAAGTCCTGGTTCAGGGTTTCCCACGTGGCTGCAGTCATCTGAAGGCTTGACTTGGGCTAGAAAATCTGCTTCCAGGACAGCTGACTCAACACTGCAGCCAGCAGAAGGCTTCAGTTCCAAGCTGGTTCTCAACAGGAAGTTTTCCAGTTTGTTGTCACATGGGCCTCACAACCTTGAGCGTCCTCACAACCTGGCAGCTAACTTCCCTCAGAGTGAGTGCTCCGAGAGGTGGGGGCAGGACGGAGGGGAGGGAAGGGGAGAGGAGGAATGCAGTACTTTTATGCCTTAGTCTCCAAAGTTGCATACCATCATTTTTGCTTCTGTTCATTAGAAGCACATTATTGAGCCTGGCCTATTATACTCAAGGGGAGGGGAATTTAGCCTCCAGCTCTTGAAAGGAAGAGTATCAGAGAATTTGTGGACAGATTTTAAAGCCACTACAATCATCATAGAGCTTTTTTTAAAATTTCAATTCCAGTATGGTTAACATAGTGTTACATTAGTTTCAGGTGTACAATATAGTGACTCAGCAATCCTATACATTAGTCAGTGCTTATCATGACAAGTGTCCTCTTTAATCCCCATCACCTGTTTCACCCCCCGCCCCAACCATCAGTTTGTTCTCTAGAGCTGTTTCTTGGTTTGTCTCTCCACCCCCCCCATCCCCCCACCCTTACTTGTTTGGTTTCTTAAATTCCACATACATCATCGAGCTTTGGAGAAGATGAAGTGAGATAATTGCTTGTGAATCCTTTGGTATGTTGCAAGGTTAACATTGCAAGGTTAAGTGTTAGCTACTAGCTGCTATTCAGTTTCACTAAGGTATGTGACTTACTTTACTAAGAATATGGGGTCCAGGTGTAATGCCTCTCCTTGACTACCGTTCTCTTTACTCCCTCTGCTGCATGAAGTTTTTACTTTATCTGCTTATCGAATCTTGTGCGAAGTGCCTAGGAATATGTCTCCCTACTTGTGGTATCCTAGCTGGTATCTACTTGAATCTGAGTTTGATCCTTCCCTTTTGCCCATGTACATTTTGAAACATATGCTACAGGAAACTTTTAGTGATCTGTGTGCATGAGCAGGTGTCATTCCCATCCTGAAAGTCAGCTCATGTAAGTTACTGTTTGTAGCCCAAGAGTCAAGGCCTGTGGCACATGGTAGTCACTTAGTACTTCAAACATTTTTTTTTTTAAGATTTTCTTTCTTTATTTGAGAGGGAGAGCAGGCATGAGCAGGGGGAGGGGCAGAGGGAGATGCAGACGCTGTGCTGAGCAGGGAGCCCAACCTGGGGCTTTATCCCAGGACCTGAGATCATGACCTGAGCCAAAGTCAGACGCTTAACTGACTGAGCCACCCAGGTGCCCCAACATTCTTAAATTAAGATATAATTTACATACAGTAAAACTTAACCTCTTTATAGCTCTGTGTTTTGACAGATGTGTACTGTCACGTAGGCAGTACCACAATCAAGAGTTCATTACTCAGAAGGTTCTGTGTCACTCTGTAGTCTTCCCTCCTCCTCCTCCTAACCCCAGGCAACCACTGATCTGTTTTCTGTCCCTCTAGTTTTGCTTTTTCTAGTTTTTGCTTTTGAGTCTGGCTTCTTTTACTTAATATAAGTGTTTGGATTCATCCATATTGTTGCATGTATCAACAGGCTTGGTTTTTTTTTTTTTTTTTTTGAGCAACAGAGCCCATGTGAGCGGGTGTGGGGGGAGGGTAGAGAGGCAGACATGGGGCTCAGTCTCACAGCCCTGAGATCATGACCTGAGCCGAAATCAAGAGTGGGACGCTTCACTGACTGAGCCACCCAGGTGCCCCAAGAGGTTTTTTTTTATTGCTGGAAGTATTCTGTTGTGTGGATATACCATATTTTGTCCCGTTCACATGTGGGTTATTTCCAGTTTTTTTCCCCCCAGTTTTTTATAATTATGAATAAGACTGCTGTAGCATTTGTGAATAGGATCTCGTGTGAATATAAGTTTTTATTTCACTTGGGTCAGTACCTAGGAGGTGGAGATTATACGGTAAGCATAATTTTAACTTAGTAAAAAATGCCCAAAATATTTTCCAAGTTGAGTGAACCACTTTGCATTACCACCGTCAATATGTGAGAGGTTGTTCCACATCCTTGCTAACACCTGGCATGGTGAATTTGAAAATATTTTAGCCATTCAGATTGTTATGGTGTGGTATTTCATTATGGTTTTAATTTGCATTTCCCTAGTGACTAATGATGTTGTTTCTTTTTATGAACTTAATTGCCATCTGTGTATCCTTTATGACCTGTCTCTTCAGATCTTTTGCCCAGTTTTTTATTGTTATGTTTGTTTTCTTATTGGGTTCTGAGAATATTATGTGTTCTGGATATAAGTCCCTTATCAGATATATGTTTTGCATATTTTCTCCTAGGCTGTGGCTTTTTTATCCCCCTTTCTTTTGTTAACATTATGTCTTTTGAAGAGAAGTTCTTAATTTTATTTAAAAAAAAAATTTTTTTTTAAAGATTTTATTTATTTGACAGAGAGCGAGAGAGGGAACACAAGCAGGGGGAGTGGGAGGGGGAGAAGCAGGCTTCCTGCTGAGCAGGGAGCCTGATGTGGGGCTCAATCCCAGGACTCTGGGATCATGACCTGAGCTGAAGGCAGACACTTATCGACTGAGCCACCTAGGTGCCCAAGAAGTTCTTAATTTTAATGAAGTCCAGTTTGTCATTTATTTTCTTTTATGGATCATGCTTTTGATGTCCTATCCAAGAAATTTTTGCCAAACCCAACGTCACAAAGATTTCCTTCTGGAAATGAACTGAACTGAAAGAAATTTTTCATTACCCAGCTGAGTTGTGGGGTACTGCACTGTGTAGGACATTTCTCTTCACCATCACTAAGCAGGCCACTTTCTTGCTACTAAGTAGTAACTGCTCGAAAGAAAACAGCACCACCGTTATGGAATTGGGCCTCAAGTGAGCAGCTGTGGTAATAAGCATAGGCAGAGCCGAGGAGAGAATGGTGGGCCAGTGCCCAAAGTCAACTTCCCCTGATTTACACGCACTGCAGGGAACTTGAGTGATCTTCACTTTGTAGGTTTTGAGCATTCCCACTTCCCCCTGGGTTACTCTGGCTGCCCGGAGTTAGGGACTGCTGCCCTAGCCTCCCATTCATTGCAGCAGTTTGGGAGAAGCAGTCTGCTGTAGTAAAGTACATGGGCTCTGGAGCTTGACTTCTTGGATTCAATCCTGGCTCTGCCACATGTCAGCTGAATAGTTTTACCCTAGTAACTTAAGCTCTCTGTGCTTCCTTTTGTCATCTATAAAATACAGATATAATAGCACTTGCCTCACTGGGAGGATTCCATGAATTAACAGATGTAAAATTCTTAGAACACTTCACAAGGTAAAAGCTCAGTAAAGGCTGGCTATTGTTAATGTTAGCATTTCTTGAACACCTTCTATGCACTGGGTACTTATCCATTTTATCTTAATTATCACATTAACACTGGAGTAGATGTATCCACATGCTGCAGAAAAATAATCTGAGGCTCAGTGATGCTGGGTAATTTGCCCAAGGATGGCAATGAAGAGATTTGATTCTGGGTCTGTCACAGCCTCTCTCCACTGTAGTGGAGAGTGTTTTCTCAGTAGTGAAGCACTTTAGGGTACTTTAAACAAAATAAGGTATACCTACTAAATAAGTATTTTTTACAAGTGGTTACTGTTTGGTTTCTGCTTTACATTGCTGAAATTTAAATCTGAGCTGAACACAGATGTACACATGAAGAGCATCAAATATAAATAAATTGTCATGATTTAGGCTAAAGAATTATTTTCCAGTGACGTATTTAAATCTCATCTTTTCTATTTTGTTTCCCAACAGGCTGTTATAATGGGTTAGTCTATGTTCTGAGAAGTAATAGTGGAGAAAAATACTGGATGTTTCCTACTGAGGATGCTGTCAAAAGCTCAGCAACTATGGATCCAACCACAGGACTCCTTTACATTGGATCTCACGACCAGCATGCATATGCCTTGGATATTTATGTAAGAACTCACCTCATCAGTTTCTTATCATAAGCTTAGAAGAGTGTGAAACTGTCAGGTGCTCTTAACTAAGGGAGCAGATATTAACTATTCCCTAAGTTTAGCATTGTGGTCTGGGAAGAATGAGTTAATTAACAGTCTTAATATCTGAAGACGTTTTTAACTTCCTAACCAGATTTTCACAAATAAATTTGCTACTCAGAGTTTTTAAATATAAAGAACTTAGAATTACTGTCTTGACAATAGAAAAGAGTCACAAAGGAAAATATCAGTAAGACCTGATAAGTTGGGGAAATAATTTGAAGCAAATGTGATGGTTAAAAATCATTGATAAGAATAAATGGAAATAAAGAACAAAAACAGGGCGCCTGGGTGGCTCAGTTGGTTAGGCGACTGCCTCCGGCTCAGGTCATGATCCTGGAGTCCCGGGATCGAGTCCCGCATCGGGCTCCCTGCTCGGCGGGGAGTCTGCTTCTCCCTCTCCCACTCCCCGTTTGTGTTCCCTCTCTCGCTGTGTCTTTCTCTGTCAAATAAATAAATAAATAAAATCTAAAAAAAAAAAAAAAAAAGAACAAAAACAAATTATAAAGACCCAGATAGAAAAAAAACAAGAGATATAAACATAAAAAACCCCAAAGAAGAAATGCCTAGTAAATATATTTAAATGTTTCATACGTTAATAATCAAAGGAATGAAAATTTATGTAATGAAGAAACAGAGTATTAGAATGGTATGGTAAATGCTGGTGAGAGTAGGGGGAGGTTGTAACTAGTGAAACCTCTGAGGAAAACAGATTGGCTATAGGTAACTTTCATACCCCCCTTTTTTTTTTTTAAGATTTTATTCATTTATTTGACAGAGAGTGCAAGCCAGGGGGGAGGGGCAGAGGGAGAAGCAGGCTCCCCGCTGATCCCAAGACCCTGGGATCATGGCCTGAGCCGAAGGCAGACACTTAACCGACTGAGCCACGCAGGTGCCCCTCATATCCTTTGATTCAGTAAAATTCTTCTGTCCTTGGCAAGCGAATCAGAGACATGGACATATATGTACACCAAGATGTCTATTCCTAAGTTGTTCATAATACCAGGAAATTAGTTCCAAACAATTTTCAGTGATAGAGAAATTATTTTATCTTCAGGTGGAATATTATGCATTAAAGTAATATCTGAAGAATTTTACCAAATAGGTGAGCTGAAGTAGATACCAAGTAGGGGCACCTGGATGGCTCAGTCAGTTAAGCATCTGCCTTCAGCCAGGTCATGGTCCCGGGAGCCTGGGATTGAGCCCCACGTTGGGCTCCCTGCTCAGTGGGGAGTTTGCTTCTCTCTCTCTCCCTCTGCCCCTCCTCCTTGCTTGTTCTCTTTCTGTCTCTCTCTCTCTCAAATAAATAAAATCTTTAAAAAAAATTAGATACCAAGTATATATTCAGAATGATCTCAACTGTATTAAACTGTGTATGTCCCAAAAAGATCAAAAGGGAAAATGTTAAACTATTAACGGTGGCTGTCTCGGTGGTCCTTGTCTTCTTTATACTAACTTGAATCTCTACAAGTAGACTATATTACTTTTATACTAAGAATAAAAAGTTACACGGGCGCCTGGGTGGCTCAGTTGGTTAAGCGACTGCCTTCGGCTCAGGTCATGATCCTGGAGTCCCTGGATCGAGTCCCGCATCGGGCTCCCTGCTTGGCGGGGAGTCTGCTTCTCCCTCTGACCCTCCCCACTCTCATGTGCCCTCTCTCATTCTCTCTCTCTCAAATAAATAAATAAAAATCTTTAAAAAAAAAAAAAAGACTAAAGAGTTACATTAACTAAATAGATGTAGTATCACAAGGATTAGGACATGTAGATTTGTTAACCACCAACAGAAACCAATTAATTTGCTTTCTTATTTGCAGAAAAAGAAGTGTGTTTGGAAGTTAAAATGTGGAGGAACTGTCTTTTCTTCCCCTTGTTTGAGCCTGATTCCACAACATTTATATGTGGCTACACTGGGAGGACATTTACTGGCTATAAATCCTGTAGGCATAAAATATGTATTGATTTTATTACCTATTTTTTAAATGTTTTATTTTTGCAATTTGAAATAGTTTTTAATTAGATATAGCCAAGCTCTTACTGAACCAGATCTCATTAAAAATGATTGACATGGGGCGCCTGGGTGGCTCAGTTGGTTAAGCGACTGCCTTCGGCTCAGGTCATGATCCTGGAGTCCCAGGATCGAGTCCCGCATCGGGCTCCCTGCTCGGCAGGGAGCCTGCTTCTCCCTCTGACCTTCCCCCCTCTCATGTGCTCTCTGTCTCTCTCATTCTCTCTCTCAAATAAAAAAAAAAAAAAAAAAAAAAATCTTAAAAAAAAAATGACATGAAGTCTAGAAAGATGAGAAAATAGAAGTTCTATGTGTGTCTTTTATCTATTTTTTAAATTGGCAGAATTTTCTCAGTGATATTCGAACTTAGAATGGTTTGAGGATAGATCTTATATACTAATTATTTCCTGGTTTTATTGTAAATTTTTATCTCAGCTCTCATAAAGAGGACTGATTAATTTTATAACTGTATACGTACTAGCTTCATTTATGATATCAGCATGCCATTATAGCTTATTCTGATATTTACAGCTTTGCCTCTGGGAGATATAGGAGTTTGTTTTATAAAGGGTAATTGATTAGTAGAATGACTTAAATGCTGTGAATTGCTTTTTGCCCATGGCAGGCCACTGGGAACAGAGTTTGGAAACATTCCTGTGGAAAACCACTCTTTTCTTCTCCACGGTGTTGCCTGCAGTATGTTTGTATTGGCTGTGTGGATGGGAATTTACTCTGCTTTACTCACTTTGGAGAACAGGTGAAAAATTTCTGGTTCTATTTTATATATCTTTCTCCAAGTCATGACAGTTGGTGACAACTGAAGTAAAATTTTATAAACATCATCTTTCAACTCAGTGTTGAAAACTAGTTTAACTGTCAAGCAGTGGGTTTCTTAATTTTTGCATGATGGGATAGTAGATTGAAGATTCTACTCAAGCATTGTTCTACTTGTGCCATGCCCTCCTCTAATTTTAAAACCTTTACCAGCTTTTAGCCAATTTTATTATAACTTCTGTTGCGGTTTTGAACATTTAAAGAAGCCCCTGCTTTTTCTATGAAAATGGAAATAGGTTGCATAACCCAAATTGCATTGAATGGAGGTCCCATCTGCAACTTCATGATTGGCAGGGAGACTTCTTCTGGGCAACATGAGATCTTTTTTGTTGGGAGCATCATCTCCACTTCTGTATCCACAGGCCACTGTCACTGCCAACAGAGCTGGTGCTGGATGTGTGATCTGGGAGGTTGGTGGCCTTGAGCGTGCGAGTTCCAACCTGAGTTAGCCCATTCGTGGCCAAGTGGATTCTGGTGCTTTTCATTCTACTTTCAGCCTTCATAGCCTAGCAGTTCCTCTTGCTGTGTGACAATTACTTTGTGATGAAATCTTATAATAGTTCACTTAATATTTTATTCACAAAGTAGTTTGAATATATTCTCACCTTTACTTATTCTAAGAAGTAAGAAGAGGCAAATATATATTTTTTTTTGGATGAACCATAGAAAGATGAAAGTGATTTTGTCCAAGTGAGGGACAGAATTAGGAGTACAAATCCTATTTTGTGAAGATGCCCACTGTCTTCATTTTGTTTTTCTTATGCTGCTGTTACTGTGCATTTGCAAACATGGTCTTGACTTAGGCCTTTTCCTCATCTTTTCTTCAAATATTGGCTGACAGGTTTGTCTGTGGTAGCTTTAAAATAAGCAGATAGGCTACATCCATAGGGCAGACCCACAATTCCTAGCTTTTTGTTTAAACCTTTAATTTCAGTTCTTGCACAGAAACTCTTCCTTTCAGCCCACATACTTCTTTTTCCTTACATTGGGAGAATAGAATAAGGTACAGTTTTTAATAAGATACATTGAAAACTGAGTGCAGTTTTGTCTTTGAACTTTGCATCTCTAAGCATAGTAGTAGTAGCTCCTTCTTGAATGGGGTTCAAAATTAATTTTGTTTCATTCTGTTGTGCAAGGCAGTGACTCATGTAATAAGACTCCAGTGTATTTTGTTCTAGACTTTACCCCTGGGACAGAGGTCTAATTTGAGAATGCTTTTCAGAAGAAGCCATTATTTCCTCTGTGTGTGTGTGTGTGTGTGTGTCTACTGTTCAGTAGCCTTCACTGCTTACATTTGTATTAAGAACAAAGCTTCACTATACAGGAAAATTGAAATGAGACGAATGAATGATTTTTGTCTTTATCATCCTTCAGGTTTGGCAGTTCTCTACCAGTGAACCAATCTTTTCATCCCCATGTGCCTCAGCCTCAGAGCAAGAAATATTTTTTGGTTCCCATGATTGCTTTATCTACTGTTGTAATATGAAAGGTCACCTCCAGTGGAAATTTGAAACTACTTCACGGGTGTACGCAACACCGTTTGCTTTCCGTTACCAAGAGGGTGACAGTGGAATGTTGCTGGCAGCAGCATCTACTGATGGGAAGCTGTGGATCTTGGACTCTAAGAGTGGACGACTGCAAAGTGTGTATGAACTTCCCGGGGAAGTTTTCTCTTCTCCTGTGATCTGGGAATCAATGCTTCTTATTGGATGCAGAAATAATTATGTTTATTGTCTGGATTTGTTGGGTGGCTATCATATATAATCAAGTTCAGTCCTTATTGAATTATCTGAGACATCTGAAAATACAGAGCATTTGGATAGTCTTATTTTATACTAAAGATTCTATTTTGCCTAAGAAACTTGTCTTTACTATACTTTATTGGAGAATGATCATATTTTACTTCCTGTAGGAGCAACAAATGCTTTTAAAAGGTATTATAGGACAAAAAAGATCAATTTATTTAGTACCACTTTCTTTTAATTTTCTTTAATTTCTTTTAATTAGGCTACAGATATGCCACTTTGGATTTTTTTTCTTTTACTTTTTCATAGAAGACTTCTGTGAAAAAGAAGATCAGAGTATACCTGGTGGTTTAAAAACTTAGTCCATGATGTTATGCACCATTTACCTATTTACAGTGATTCGTAACAAAAGGTTCTCAAAGGGATCTTTTTGTCAAAGTAGATTACATGAACAAAATACCAGTATTATATCTATAGATCTGTCTCTTCCTATGTAGAGTTTTAAGATGATTTACCCTCTTTTTTCAGTTTTTTGATACACAAACTTTAGTGAATATTTTTGTACCTCTGTTTCTCAGTTTATTAGATTTTGTGGTTGTAGGTCTCTTTTTGTTCACTGGCTTGGTGGAAGGGAACACAGCGAAAACCAGGAAGGGAAAAAACCCTATATACTCTTCAGTATCCTGATTTCTCATAATATATATGGTTTGGGGCTGGAGCTACTTCTCCAGTCCCAGAGCACTTTGCTCATAGCTGCATCTGCCTGGCATGAAGTTGCCCCCAGTGAACTATACCTCCTCCCGGGAGCCATGCCCTTTCTGCATCCTCGTTCTCTTGTACTTGGACGTAGTCCAAGGTTTGCTTTAACCAATAGAATGCAGCGGAGGTGACACTATTGTCACTTCTGAGCCTAAGCCTTAAGAAGGCCTGGCAGCTTCTGCTTTCATGGGATGCCTGAGCTGCCACCTGAAACGTCTGGCGGCCCTGACACTGCGCTGTAAAACCCGAGAAAGCCAAATCACAGGGATAGGTGAAGCCCCGCACGTTTGCCTTCGGCCTTCCGGCCAACCCCCAGCTGTTGAGGCTATCCTGATGCCAGACGTTTAGTTCCCCACCCACAGGACCCTGAGAAATAATAACATGGCAGTTGTTTGAAGCCACTCAGGTTTAGGGTAGTAAGTTTTGGGTGGTAGTAGCGAAGATTACTGGAACAGAAGTCACGTGTTCTTTTTTCCCACATCACTTAAATTACTCAAATAGGTGGACAGATGTCTCAGTTTTCTTTGAAATTTCATGATCTAGTTCAGGTAATAAAGCAGCCTTTTTTTTTTTTTTGCTAGGATATTAGGAATTTAGCCACTAGTGGTAGTAGTAACTATTTAGAGCATATTACATCAGACACTGTGCTAAAGCACTTAAAGTAACAGAAATGTTTCCTATTGTTTACCTTCCCTTCATCTCTATAGTCAACTGTGGTATCAATTTCATTTGTCCATTTATTCTCCAGTAAAGTCCCAGATATCAAACATGCCAGAATTCTTAGCTGCAAGCTATAGAAGTCAACTTAGGCTATTTTAAGCAGAAAAGAATTTTTTTTTTTTAGGATTTTATTTGTCAGAGAGAGCACAAGCAGGGGGAGCGGCAGGCAGAGGGAGAAGCAGACTCCCCGCTGAGCAGGGAGCCCGATGTGGGACTCGATCCCAGGACCCTGGGATCATGACCTGAGCCGAAGGCAGACGCTCAACTGACCCACCCAGGCGCCCCTAAGCAGAAAAGAATTTTTAAAAAAGAATATTGAATAGCTTAGAGAATTGGGGCAGGGCTAGAGCTCTACACAGCCAGGAACCATTATGCCTGAAATCACCATGACTTTGGCCTGGGGAAGACACAAGCTGCTGTCCTTGAAGTTCTAAATGCTCAGACTGCTAACACTAGACACCGTTCCCCGCCGCTGCCAGACTTCCACACAGTTGAATTGGGAGATCAATGCATAGTCTCTTCCAGTTTCAAGTGAAACAGGTTCCGTGCCCGTGACAGAGTGCAGCAAAGCACGTATCAGGCATTTCATCTGGGGTGGTGGGAGGGGAGTGCAAGACCCATGAGCTGGGAGATTTCCCCAAACCTAGAAGGGGGACTGAGATACAGACTGGCCAAAAGAACAGCACATCTTCTGCCAAGTTTTAGATCAGTGCCTCTTAAATCTTAACGTGTGTATTAACCACCTGCAGCTCTTGCTAAAATAAAATGCACATTCCAATTGAGAGGGCTGAAAGAGTGCTTTGCTAAGCCATATGGATCCTGAGGCACAAAGACAGACAAATCAGTAATACCCCTGTCTTTATTTAAAATTTTGGTATTTGTTCACAATGGAATTTGTACTAATTTATATTAAGTAATCTCTAAGCCCAACATGGGGCTTGAACTAAGCGATCCCGAGATTGAGTCACATGCTGTACCAACTGAGCTAGCCAAGTGCCCCAAGTACTAATTTTTATTTTAAAAAAATACTAAAAAAGAACAGTATCTTAATCAGTTTTTGGCACCCAAGGTATGAGGGCCTCACTCACCTCACTCATTGTGCCCTGGTGTATAGGCCTGTAAGTAAGTCAGCAGGTCTGGTGTGGAGCCGGAAGCTGCCTTTCCCACAGGCTTTCAGCTCCAGCCATCGCTGCGGTTCTGCAGCCCACACGTGGAGTAAGGAGGCTGTGTGGTGGTATTTTCTCTGAGATGCAGACCATTCAATTCCAATTTAGGATTGAAATAAACATTTTATTTGCCCCTATTCATTACTTTATGACATCTAGTCAAAAATACAAGGTAGCACATAAAATGCCTTGAAATGTTTCTTTCTCAACAAGTTATGTAAATATGAGCTTGCTTTTAGATGGTCATTGAAATTGGCAAAAACTTCATCTTGAAAAGGAAATTACATCAATGCTGAAGATCTTGTAGGTATTTTTTATTGAAAGATCATTTCCTTCAATAATGGACATTTTACATTAAACCTTTATACCAAAACCAAAAATCTCAAAATAATATTAAAATCACACTATTTTTCATTGTTGTCTCTACTCAATTTTATTATTGGTAAAAATATGGCAAGACACTTGTAACTAACGTTTCTGCTTTAAAATAAGCAATTAAACTAAATGTCACAAGAAGAGACAATGAATACATACTATAATTTGCTGATAACTGGCTCTAAAATAACTTAATAGTAATTAATGTGTAAGAATTGCACTTGAAAAATTAAAAAAGTAAACAAAAAGCTCTAGTTATATATATATAAGTTTATGAACAGAGGTTAATCTGTTACCTTTGCCAAGAGAAGTGTATGTTTAAGTTAAAAAAAAAAACTTATTTAACATAGCAATTATTCATTTAAAAAAAAGTCTTTTTATAGAATTTCCCCCATAGTTTGTTGATCAGAAAAGACGGCAACACAACTAAAGCAAAATAACACTTCATTGGTATTTAGTGCAAATTTGGTGGAGTTATTTTACATGAAATATTAAACATGTACCCTTTAGAAGTTGCTGGAAGTAAGTGCTGTGACTGTCCTGTCCTCAGTGTCCTCTTTTACTTTTGCAGACTTTAAGAGAAACTTTGTAACTGAGGTATTTTCTCCTACTTCGCATGAGCTCGGTGCCGTGTGAGCCAGGAGCAGTGGGCTCATCTAGGATTCTTCATCAGTGACCCGATTGCTTCCCCTGTTCTCCACCCTTACTGGGGTATTATCCAGAGCTGACAGGATGAAAGAGAAAGTTAAGAAGAATTATCGTAGCACTATAATACCAGGGCTCTAGGTGGAAAGATTCCCATTAAAAAGTGTGTTATGTTAGTAATGAAATCACTGAAAACTGACAAATGCCTTTATGTTTGATTTAGGAATGAACATCAGTGTGGAAAACATGCAGTGGAGTATTAATTGCTTCCCACAGGAATAAAAGAAAATTATTACACTGATTCTTAACAGTTGGAAGGTCCAGTATATAGACAGTATACTAAGTCCAGCTTGCAGGAGTACAACCGTCCGCGTGACCGTATGTGCCACTGCTAACCACGAGGCTGAGCCATGGTTTCCAGAAAAGAAAATGCCTTCTCTGTGGTGAATGGCAGGAAAGCAACAATACATCACCTGTCAGGTGAGCTCCGCATAGAGGAAAATGATGATGGATACTGATAAGATGGGTTTTTGCAGGAGAGGGAAAAGGAATGCAGTTCCCCATGCATTGGGCAAAGGATGTATACTTCTATTATGGAGTCAGAATCTCAGAAAAGGAGAATATGCCAACACCATGAAATATAAAGTCAGTATTGGCAATGTGTGGTTGGCTGGGAGGCCTGTGCTTCATGCTTTTGAATCACCGTGTCCCTTCTTTGGACCACACGGTTGGAGTAGCAAGGCCACTTAAGACTCGGAGATGTTTTCAAAGATAGCAAGGTGAATGCTCAAAATTATAAACGCTATTGAACATTTGACTCTAAATATGAATTACTCGATTATGGTAAAGAAACTTTCCACAGAAGTCCTTAGTACAAAGGCTCCAAATCTTGGCTTCCTGTTAAATTTTCCCTAAAGACCTAAGGGAATACTCGAGACCTTCAATGTCAGTAGCCTCCCCTATCTTGTAGTAAATGTCTGGTTTCGTGGATTGGTTTTTTAATTTTTCCTCTCACTTCTTTGGGTAAAATGAGCCTCCCCTTCAGAGTTTTAAAAGCTAGATTACCCTGGAAGCAGTGTATCCCCAAGGTTCTCCTTTGGGATGTATCAGAATTGGTCTGAAGAGTTTTGCCAGAATAGACCTTCCTGGCCCAGACTCACAGGATCGAATTCGGAAGGCAGAAGATGGGGCCAGGACATCTTAAGAACCACTGCACTAGGTGGGGATTCTCAGAGCTGGGAAGAGAATCTGTGGCTTCCTTTCTTCATGATCCTAAATAGAAATGTTCCCTAGGAGCCACCTAGGCCAAATGTTTAGCATGTCCTGAAGGAGAGTACCAGTATGACAGGACCTGTCGGACATCAGTGTGGTGGAAGTGTGAACAGATTCACTTTCTGTGTTACAGTTTCAGATAGGTAGGATTCAGAAAAGCAGACGTGGGCAGAGTTGGCAGCCAGACTGTTAGGATTCCCAGTTACTCAATGCATTCAGGAGAACGGGCATCTTGTTTCTGTCTGTATGACCCCTTCTTTCGCCATTACTGTAGAAAAGGAAAGAAACCACCAAACATATGGTAGGGTAAATGTTCTAGATAAAAGAAGTTGAAGAATCAAAAAGCAAAGATTGGCAAACGTCCTGTTCTAAATGGTGTGTGGGTGTGTATGTGTGGAAGGGCTGTGGTAGGGGCATGGTAGGCTCTTGTGAAAAGTTCTTAGTTTGGAGATTTTGCTTCACGTGGTCCCTCGGATGGAATTTTCTCTTGAGAACGAGGAAGAGCTCAAGGCACCAGGACCTAGGATTGTGCAAATACACTCTTTACAGGGAATGCCACCGATTCAGTTTCTGAACATTATTTTAGAGCCTATAAAACATGCTGCTTTTCCCTAGCGTGGTTTCTTTACCTCATATAAAAAATAAATAACAAGGGCAAGAGAAGAGCCAGTAACTGGCAGTAGGAGTGGATAAAAGTCACTCTACTTAATGATCTGTGGACAGTCGCTCCAGGCCTTGGCTTTCCTTTTGGCCAAAGCCAGCCAGGCTGGTTCTGTTGACACGGGGGCAGCATCTGGGGTTGAGAACCTCTTTGTGACTTCTTTCACCAGCGGCGCGGCAGGGGCTGAATCCGAGATCTCCACTGGATTGGGTTTTGAAGGAAAAGGATAAGAGTAAGTCAGAGCCACATTCTGGTGTATTAGGAGTGCAAGATTCAGAAGGGAAACCCCGGTGAAACACTGGACATCTTTAGTGAGAAGAATTAGGGAAAGAAAGCAATGTGATCAGAACCACTGCATACAGAATTACAGTGCAGAAGCCTAATTTTTTTGTGCACAGAAGCTATGCCTACATGATAAGAAATAAAAGGTAAATGCTGTGGTTCTAGTTATCCAACCAGTCAGTTCCATGAAGAAAAACATCAAACCAGCAGTCTGAATTTATTGAACTGGTGAGGTCAAAACTCACGCTCCCCACCAGGCAGGGCCCGGGGTGCCCCCTGCCCGAGGCCCCGGCTCCCGCCAGCCCTCACCACGTTAAGGCTTGCCCCCCAGTTCTTCCTGTACCAGACCTTAGAGGCTTCTTAAGATGAGGGATCTGGACTTTGCCCATGGCAATGGCCTACACATGAACAGAACTCGGGAAATACTGATGGAAAAGACAAATACATCAGAACAAAAGTTTGCTTCAGTGAGCTGGAGCCACTCTCTGGCACGGCCACAGAAGTCAGGCAGAGAAAGGTGTGATCTCTGACTTTGGAATTTTATTCTGAAAGAATGATCTCTCTGACACACCCAGATGGTTAGAACCCTCAAGTCTCGGGTGTAAGATCGTATGGAATTATGCCCATGAAGGTTCTTGAAAAATTACATAGTGCTCCAAAGTGGTTTTCAAATATAGTTGTTTTTCTCCTCACCAAAACAGTATATAGAGCTTTAAGGGCGAGACCTCTTTACATTTCCATACCCAAGCTAGCAGGTAACAAAGGCATAAAACAGCCTAGGTCTCCAGGGTGGGTGCCCTCTAGGGCCCAGGTGGCCCAGAAGGGAAAACAGACGCCCTGCTAACCCCTGGGAGGAAGCTTGTTCCAACTCCTATCCATCCTTCAAGTGATTTGTAACAAGGAAATAGTTGGAAACATCACAGGATCACTTTAACAGAATAAAGAATCTTTTAAAAAATGTCTTTTGTGTGTCATGAATATATTAACAGCAATGTTTCATAAAGGACTCAGCTGAAAAACCTTGCTCTAAAGTCCTGCTGGTCAGAAACTTGCTATTTGAAATCCCACCAGTGAGTAGACACCGTCTCACTTTTGCCTGGAAACAGGACCCTGAGTCCACTCTTGATCTCAGGTTTGAAATCAACCCCTTTATATACAACTCCTGCTCGGTTCTGAACCCGCCAAAACCCCATTCCACTTACATTTTACCTAAACTTCACCCTTTCCCCCAAATCCTATTATAATCTTGCCTCTTCCCTTTTTTTTTTTTTTAAAGATTTTATTTATTTATTTGAGAGAGAGAGCATGAGGGGGGGAGGGTCAGAGGCAGAAGCAGACTCCCTGCCAAGCAGGGAGCCCGATGCAGGACTCGATCCCGGGACTCCAGGATCATGACCTGAGCCGAAGGCAGTCGCTCAACCAGCTGAGCCCCCCAGGCGCCCTTGCCTCTTCCCTTCTTGAGATGATTCTCACGGTCTCTAGTCTCCCTCGCAGGAGGAAGTTAATGAACCTCATGTTGCTAGACTAGAGGCAGTGGGGCATGGAGAGGGCTCGTTCAACATGAAGTGATGGGACCAGTTGACAGCACACGGGGAGCTTGAAACTGGCCACAGTGGGAGGATTTACCCCACGAAAACTGTCAGATGCTACAAATCCCAGGTCTCCCCACTCCCTGAAGGGTGACTGTTAGCCATTTACCATCACCACTGATGGGGAGTCCCACTGGGCTTTACCAGATGAGCTTTCTCAAAGGGTGGCCTTGTGGGGTTGTGAGGCAGCCTGGGCCCTGGAGGGCCACGTGCGCTGACCTTGTACTCACACTCAAGGACAGAAAGCAGCTGCGAGACCAGCCGTGGACCTGCTCTCCCTACCTGTCACAGATGTAGGAAGGGTGTTGGCCTTTTTCAGCTGTTCTCTGCGCTCAAGCCTGGACGCTGCTGTCTCTGGCTGCTTCTCTTCCGGCTGGGCGGTGGGCTTGTGCAGGGACCCCGCCCTGCTCACGCTGCTGCTTCCGGGCTGTGGGCCGACACTGACCTGGGTGGGCAGAGTCAGGGCACATGTGTTGTCAACCTAAGGACGTGGAAAGACTGACCGTGCAAGGCCGTGGGGGCTTCTGCCTGCCGGCCCCCAACCTCTGCTCCTAAAGGAGCAGCAGGGACTGCCCGGGGACTGCACGTGGGAGCAAAGTGGGGCCAACCATGACCCCCGCCGTGGAGCAGCTCAGCTCAAAGGTCTCAAAGAGGGAAAGTCACTTTCCAAGGAGAGGCCCATCGAACAGACCATAAAATCAGGGCCACAGAGCAAGACTCCTGATTTTCCTCCCAACTCCCTGCTCAAATAAAATCACTCTCCTATTTCCCGTGTAACTGCTATGTGCATGGACTGCTGCTAGTCGTCACGGATTCTACCAAGTCAGGTTAACCTAAGAGAATAAGGAAACCAAACAATTACCAATCAAACACACTTCCCTGGTTTAACGGTGATCAGTTTATTTATTGCTCTAAACCTAAGTATTCTCCACCACTCCTAGCTAGTTTTTTTTTTTTTTTTTTAAATCCTTGTGACCTAAAAGAGAGCCAAATTCAGGGAAGGCAAAGTTAAAGCTGAAAACCAGGCTACTCACGTTCTCTTTGGCGAGCTTTTCGGCCTGTTTGGCCTCCCTGGCTTGCTTCTTCTCCTCGCGAGTTGCTTGCTGCTCTCGAAACCCCTTCTGCTTCTGCAGTGCTAATGTTATCCACAGCGGCTGCACAGTTTCAACCTTCTCCGCAAGTTTAGAGCCGTCTAAAGAGTGCCTGCTCTGAAGAACCGGCTTTTCTGTGGAAAAAGAGATTGTGGTACTGTGATTTCTTTTTTTAAAGATTTTACTTATTCATTTGAGAGAAGCAGACTCCCCTGCTGAGCAGGGAGCCCGATGCAGGGCTCAATCCCAGGACCCTGGGATCATGACCTGAGCTGAAGGCAGACGCTTAACTGACTGAGCCACCCAGGTGCCCCGATATTGTGATTTAGAAGAAATATATATTTGGGGGCACCTGGCTGGCTCAGTTGGTAGAGCATGTGGCTCTTGATCTCTGAGTCGTAGAGATCGAGCCCCACACTGGGTGTAGAGATTAAATAAACTTTAAAAAAATTTTAAAAAGAAATATGTATTTGGTCTTTGTGCCATTTCTAGAGCTCAGAGCTCCTAAAACCCTTGGGATTTCATAAGTGATGACAGCATAAGGTGTCTCTTACTCTGTTAACGAGAGGACTCTGGGACCGACACTAAGGATGCAGCTGGTGGCCAGAGGAGCCAAGCATGTCTGATTAGAGGGGTTGGATCTTTTGTTCCCACTCCCAAACTCCAGGGAGGGGAGAGGGACTAGAGACTGAGTTCAGTCGCCAGTGGCTGATGATTTAATCAGTCGTGCCCACGTAATGAAGCCTCCATAAAAACCCAAAAGGATGGGGTTCAGGGAGTTTCTGCTTGATGAACACATAGAGATTTGAAGGGAGAGGTGTGCTCTGGGCGCAGAGAAACTCCATGCCCTTCCCCATACCTTACCCTTCTGTGTCATTTCCATCTGACTGTTCCTGAATTATACCCTTTTATAATAAACTGGTCATCTAGGAAGCAAAATGTTTCTCTGAGTTCTGTGAGCTGCTCTAGCAAATTAACTGAACCCAAGGAGGGGGTCATGAGCATCTCTGATTTAAGTCGATCAGAAGCACAGGTGATGCCCTGGACTTGGGAATGGCATCTGAAGTGGGGACAGTTTTGTGGGACCGAGCCCTTAACCTACGGGGCCTGATGCCATCTCCAGGTAGACCGCGTCGGAACGCAACTGAAACGTAGTGTCTGAGGACTGTCTGGTGGTGTGGAGACCACCCCCCCCCATCCCCCCGATGGAACTGTGATCAGAACCGGGAAAGGCAAAAGCAGGTTTGCAGTGAGACCACTCACTTCTCTTGATCCCGCACCCCCTACAACTTGTGACGTGAACTATTCAACTGTCCTTTCCTGACCTGAACTCTGCACCGATGCCTGAGAGACTTCTCTGGGTGGGGAGGTAACATCTTTGATGAACAGAAACACAGAAGCATCTTCCTTCCCTCAAAATGGAAGTAAAAATAAGATCTCCGGTGTCAGAAAATCTCAGGTCTACAGGTAACCCGGGCTGTTATCTGATTTATTGTTCTTATTTATCGCTTTTTAACCCCAAACATCCTATGCGGAACCCCAATGGATGAAAGAGGTCCGAGGGAGGCTGCTCTACCTAGTGAGGCTGCTGGGGGCACAGGGCTCTGAGGGACGCAGCAGGAAACTGTGATTTGGGCTCAGTGCTCTCCTCTGACAGACGGGAGTGTGAGCGCCCCGGCCGAAGTTTGAACCTAGGACTTCCGATTTCCAGTCTGTGCTTTTCTTGTGGCTGACTGCCCCCCCCCCCCCCCCCCCCCCCGTGCACCCGGGCAGACGTGCTGCACAGGTGGTGGGCCGCCCAGGCTGTCATCAGACTTTTACACTGAGCAGCCCTGGGTTTGCCCTCATGTCCAACAAAAGCTACTTGAACCTCCCTAAGGTCTTCTAATCCCTAAGCAGAGATGATAATGGCGCATGCCTCATCAGGCTGCCCCGAGGATGAAGAGATCCCGGACGGCAGAACATTCACAACAGTGCTTGGCACAGAGGAACCGCTCCACAAGAGACCTGTTCTGTTTATGTCTATGAGACTTATCCCCTTCTTTTCCCTCAAGTAAAAATCATGCCCTTTTAGAGATCATCATTCTGGCATTGAATGCTTTATTATCTCAAAGGAAAAGGGCTCACTATAGTCCTGTTCTTTAGAAATCCAATAAAAGTTTACACTTTGATGATCCAAAACCTTACCAAACAGGGCTCTCAGTCAACTCGACTTTATGTTGAGGAGAAAGAACCAAAGTAAAATCAAATTAGGAATTCAAGCACAAAAAAAAGGGGCAGGTTCTGCTTGTCTATACCTTTTAGATCTATAACACTGTACAAAGAGAATTCCTATTTATAATGGGTCTTGGTCGTTACACTATCCCTAATCATCAAATAAACATTCAGGTATGATCTAACACAGTAAAGAAAACTGGCACACTTAAAAAGTATTAAAAAAAAAATTAAAGGTATTTTTAAAAAAATTTTATTTGTTTATTCATGAGAGACAGAGAGAGAGAGAGAGGCAGAGGGAGAAGCAGGCTCCCAAGGAGCAGGGAGCCCGATGCGGGACTCGATCCCAGGACTCTGGGACCATGACCTGAGCCGAAGGCAGATGCTTAACCATCTGAGCCACCCAGGTGCCCAATTAAAGGTATTTTTAATGAATCTTTAATTAACAAAAAATTTTTAAAAATACAGTTGACCTTTGAACATGGGTTTGAACTGCGCCAAGTCTACTTCTACATGGATTTTTTTTTTTTTTTATAAACACAGCCCAGTACTGTGAATGTATTATCTCTTTCTTATGGTTTTCTTAATAACATTTTTTCTCCAGCTTACTTTATTGTATGAATACAGTATTTAATGTACAAAATATGAGTTAATCGACTGTTTATCAGTAAGGCTTCCAGTCAGCTATAGGCTATTAATAGTTAAGTTTTGGGGAGTCAAAGGTTATACACGGATTTCAACTGCACAGGAAGTTGGCGCCCCTAACCCCCATGATGTTCAAGGGTCAACTGGTATTCACCAATTCAAGCATTATGCTTTAGATACGCTTTAGATACATGGGAACTAATTTATTTATTTATTTATTTATTTTTTAAAGGTTTTATTCATTTGAGACACAGATACAAAAAGAGAGAGCATGAGCAGGGGGAAAGGCAGAGGGAGAGGGAGAAGCAGGCTCCCCGCTGAGCAGGGAGCCCGATGAGGGGCTAGATCTCAGGACCCTGGATCATGACCTGAGAGCTGAAGGCAGACGCTTAACGACTGACCCACCCAGGTGCCCTAACATGGGAATTAATTTAATAAATTGTTTTTTTTTTTACTCAAGGACAGTGTAACACCTGTTTGTAAAATGTCTGAAAACCAAATTGCCAAGATCCAAATGATTTCCATTTGAAGCTCTCATGTAAAAGGGAATCCTACACTAAACATTCCGTCTGAAAGTCATTAAAACCACTGGCCAGTTTCCTGACAACAATTTTGACTGGTGTTTTATCACAAGGGTCAAAATACCTTTAAAGTAGAATTGCCTATTTTTTTTTTATTTGAAAAGGTAAATCGCCAGCCAGATTTTTTATTTCCTTAGAACTGTGGCCCTTGAATAGCACATTCTAGAGTTATGACCAGGCTTTAAAAAGGCTGTAACACAATATGTGTAAGGGTCTAACAGGTCTGGATTGTAGCTGAGGATCGATAAACAGAAAACGTTTGAGAATGTTAAAACGGGGCTCCTGTTTGAATTTCAGCCCAGGTTGCCCAAAGGTCTTCCACAAATAATAGCTCCGACTCTCATATCCTGAAGTAAAGTTCTAGATCACCAACTTCGGACTGGCCCAGACAGCTACCACAAGGTCATAGAAAAATCATGGGAGAGAAGGAGGCAAGGTAAAACATTTGTTTAAACCTATTCTCTCTCATTCTAAACACAGTGGACAAGGGGAACCACAGGCCATTCAGATTCCCTCCTTCGGGTTCTGGGGATATGAGCAAGTACATCCTGGCCCTACAGAGTTTGAACCACTGCTCCCAAAGGTAAATTCTTGGAGAAAGGGCCACTTAAATATCTATTCCACCCACCATACGGAGGTGGGAATTTCAGAATGAGATGACCTCTAGAGGACAAACACGGGGTGGATTCAGAGTCAAAGCCCTCCCAGTGGCTCCGCCTATGGGCTGGTTCTCACTGGCCTCACCCTTGGGGATGGAAATCTCTTTCTACAGCAGTGGTCTACAAAATAAAGGGTGTGTGTGCCCTAGGGGATGTGCAAGGCAAATCACTGGGGCTAAAGGAAGAAAAGATTAAAATTTCTGATATATTTTTAAATCTAAAAAGAAAAATGAAATTAAGCTTTTCTAGTATTTAATATTTAGACTGGCACGGACATCCTCACTCAGGCCATATACCAGAAGGCCACATGGAACAGTGTATTTACAGAGCCCCCGAGGGAAGCTGGAAGCACCAAGTGCAGGGAGGGCAGAGAACTAGTGACGCTGTCCTCCTCACTCCTTTGCTTCGAGCATACTGTGGCCACTAATAATACAAACAGAAGAAACTAGCCGAGCTGCAAGCTCTCTGTGGGCCACTTTATGAAGAAGGCAGAGCTGTCAAGGAGCTGGCCAAAGAAAATAAAAGGCAGCACCAGGATTTGCAACACGGATTTATGTCCGCCTGTTGTCTCAATGAACTTCACCCTAAATGCACGCGGCGCTCCAGGGGTTTTAGCTGAGGACAGCACTACAGGTACACAAGTAACAGGTGAAATTGGAGATGCAGGCTTTAACATTTTTATTCTGATGGGGGTGTTCAGTCCAACACACTGGTCAGCCTGGCCTAGTGTGGGGTGGGAAAATGCCAGTGGTCTTTAGACAGCACCCCCAAGGCATGTGGACCTTGCATCCATTGCTTCTTTTCTAGCAAATAAAGAAAAATTCAGTTAGCAGAGCCTAACAGCCCAGAATCTGGACCCTGGGAAAGAAAAAGGAGCAGTAACGGTTTTTGGTAGGAAATTATAATGAAGGGACTTCTCTAGAAAAAGAAGCACAACAGAGAGTTATTTCTCTGGGGAGAAGCTAAGGAGAGTGGTAGAGTCCTCCAGACAGTGAGAGGGACTTTGATGAGATCATAATGTTAAAACTGAAAATGAGGCTCCAGTTCAAGATGGCGACGTAGAAGGACCCCGAACTTCTCTCCTCCCAGGGACACACCCAATATACAGCTACATATGCAACAATTCCCTTTAAAAGAAATCCAAAAACTAGCTGAGCAACTCCTACACATTGGATGAATGAGAAAAACCCCACATGGAAGGAGGTTGGAGAAGCTGAGACGCCATCTCACCATAAACCCATTCCCTGTACAACCCACAACTGGGAGGGAACTCACAACTCCTAGCTTCTCCTTGAGGAGCAAAGGGTTTGGACTCCACATCTGGTACCCCAACTTTTAAGACTTCTACCTAAGAGCCAGGCCCCCCAAACACCTAGCTCTGAAGGCCAACGGGGCTTGTCAGCACGAGTCCCGGGAGGCTATGGGGAACTAAGGGACAGCTCTTACTGGGCTTGTGGGAGGACTCCCCGTGGCCGTCCCCCAGGGCCCAGCACAGGCGGAAAACAACAACACAAAGAAAAAACTGAAAACGGGCTACTCATCAGCAGGACAAACAAAATTAGGGAGAAACGGTCCGGCAACTGCTGAGCTACATGCCGGTCTAAGGCTTGGTTAAAAAGGACAATGAGATCTCCCTTCCATAAGGCAAGTAACCAAACCAGCACTGCTGGGGAAAAAGCTCTTTTCTCAGCAAAAATCACCGACCAGGGGCGCCTGGGTGGCTCAGTCGTTAAGCGTCTGCCTTCGGCTCAGGTCATGATCCCGGGGTCCTGGGATCGAGCCCCGCATCGGGCTCCCTGCTCGGCGGGAAGCCTGCTTCTCCCTCTCCCCCTGCTTGTGTTCCCTCTCTCGCTGTGTCTCTCTCTGTCAAATAAATAAATAAAAAATCTTAAAAAAAAAAAAAATCACCGACCACCTAAACAATTCAACAAGACAGAAGGCTTACGCGTTTCCTAATAAACCTCAGGGGAGAATTTCTCTGAGAAATGGGAGTAACTTCCCGGACTATGACCCGAACCTTACCTCCAACTCTACGAACCCGGAAAGACAAAGTGTTCGCTAAAGGTTCTCGGGGGCCCCAAAGCCAGTGCAAGTGCTCGCGGCTACCCTGAAGAACGACGAGCGGCGGCCCCGCGCGAGGGCGGCCGCTCGGCCATCCGTCGTGGGCGGCCTCGCCGGGCCAGGCTGCTGGGGTGGGGGGGATGCAGCTGCAGAGCGCTTTGCGCGAAGCTGCGCCCAACGGGGTCGTCCACACCTAAGCTCCTCAGGCGGCGGCGGCTGCAAGTCCCGACCTCCCGGCGGGGCGCCGCTACTGCCCCGGGAGAACGCGACTCGTCCGGGAAACCTGTCTTCCCCGTCCCCGCCGGGGCCCGCCCCAGGTTAAGGACGTCGTGGCTCATTAGGACCGATTTGCAGTTTCCGCTGTCAAGCGAAAGCGTGTCCGTCTCAGCGTCAGCACCTGGACCTAAGTACGGCCAACGGTGCGAGCGGCACACATGTCGCTGTCAGCACCTCCCAAATTCCGAAGCAGAGCAAGAAAAGCGCCTCGGGACTCGGGAGAGGGCCTCCACCGGAGGGGCTGCTCGGGCACGCGGCCGCTCCCGGCTCCGCTCCCGGGGCAGCCCAGGCTTCCGCCGTGACCCTCACGAGGCGCTCGGCACAGGCCGAGCGATCCCACCCACCCAACCTACCTTTCCTCGCGGCCTCGGGGGTCTGGGAAGGCTTCTCCGGCCGAGCGGCCGGCTGGGCCGGGGAAGCGGGTTTGCGCTCCGGTTCCACCACTTCCTCCTCCTCCTCCCTCTGGTGCGCCCGCCTCGGCTCTGCGGGCGGCGGCGGCGGCGACGGCGGCCGGGGGTCACTGCTCTCGGGCGGGTCCAGCTTCCCCGCGCGGCGGGCCAGCAGCTCCACCAGGTAGGGCCTGCTCAGTTTGGAGAGTGGGGACGAGGGGGGCGTCTGGCCGGCGGGCTTGGGGGCCAGCGCTGGCTTCTGCGCCGGGGGCGCTTTGGTGGCCGCCTTGTCGTGCTCTGCGGCGGGGGTCTGGCTGCCGGCCGGCGGGGCCGCGGGAGAAGGGTGGGCTCTTGCGGCCGAGTCCTTCCAGGCGGACAGGGCTGGCTTCCTCTCGGCGGGCAGGGCCGGGCCATGCTTGGGGGCCACGGCTTCCGTCTCCTCTCCTTTTGCGCTCCCTGGTGCGGGCGGGCCGCCATCGGCACCGTCCCCGGTGCTGCTATGCCTTTTCTTCTTCTTCTGTTCTGTCTGTTGGTCGCAGTGGAAGCGCAAGGAGTAGTTGGTCCTTCTCAATTTTATTCCGAAAGGTGAGGCTTTTTCCTCCTGGCCAGGCATCGAGGGGTCCGGCTTTCCTCTCCCGCTGGTGGTCTCACTGTCCGCAGCGGCCATGGTTTCTGCATGGGCCACGGCTTTGTGAGGCGGGTAGGCAGGGCTTGGGACAAGGAAAGACGGGAGGTCTTTGGCAAATTTGCACCCCTCTGTGGTGTCTGCCGGCTCTGGTTTCTCCGCGCCCTTGGGGAGCTCGTTAGTAGCCAGGGGCTGGGGCACCGAGCCGTCGCCGGCTCCCGGCGAGGGTCTTTTTCTCATGCTCTCTGCTTCTGTGTTCTGTCTGGAGGTCTCGGTGCCACCGTCAGAGAATTTCTGCCAGGCAGGCATAATAGAGAACTTCGCACTTACTGGGGGGGTCTTCCGGAGGTTCCCGCGGGAATCACTGCGGGCCCTGGGAGCGTGCTCATCACCCGGCCGAGACCGGCCCCTCTCGCTGCGCGGCTCACCCTCCGCGCTCTTCAGGATTCTGGACCGAATGGACGCCCACTCGGCTAGCGCGGCCACACTGCTCGGAGACTCCTGGGGGGCCCTGACCTTCCCGCTGCCGGCCCGGGGCTCAACAGGCGCGCGGGCTGCGCTCTCCAGGGCAGAGACATCCACGTGCTTCTTTTCTTCTGACAAGCCCAGGAGAGACTTGCATGCCGTGTCCTTGATCTGGCTCAGGTTGACCGCCGCGCCGCAGAGCTGCGCGCCCGTCACCAGAATGGCTGTGTGGGGGACACTCAGGGAGGAGTGCAGGCCGTGGGCGGCCGCGCTGGCTCGGGGGGTCTTCGGCGCGTGGGGAGCGGAGGCCAGTCCCACATCTCTCACGGGCGTCACTGGGCTCAGATTGACTCTGGGGAAGAGAATCTGTTTCCCTCCCGATGACACCTGGAAGGTGTAGGGCCTGGGCATGCTCTGCCTCTCGTCCACTTCCTGCCACCGGAGTTCCTCCCCCTTTCTGTCTTTTTCCGGGGCGGCGGCGTCCTTCCTCTCCCCGGGAGCCTCTTCCACTTGCGCCTCGTGTTTCTGGGGAGGCTGCGCGCTAGTTTCTGGTCTCTCTTCCGGACGTGCACGACGGCCATGCCCGGGACCAGCCCCGCGCCGTCCCTGCGGCTCGCCGGCTGCCTCGGCCTCCTGACTCTGCTTCTCGCAAATCCTGGATTCCTCCGAGCTTTCCCGTTGCTTCTCGGGCTGCAGGTGGTGCTCTCGTTTCCCAGGTTTCTCTGCCAAGTCCACCTGATGTGGGCTCAAACCCGTTTTGTCGTCCAGCTGCTGCCACCTCTCCTCGCGCACTCTCGCGGCTTCCCGACGCTCCGCTTCCTGCCGCCTCGCGGCCTCCACTTCCTCCCGCTTTCCCCGCTCCGCCCTTTCCTCGGCCGCTGCCTCCGCCTCCCGCCGCTGCTCCTCCTCCCGCCGCCGCTGCTCCTCCCATTCTCGCTGCTCCTCCTCCCGCCGGCGCTGCTCCTCCCTTTCCCTCTGCTCCTCCTCCTCCCGCCGGCGCTGTTCCTCTTCCAGCAGCCGCTTCTCCTCCTCCCGCCGCCGCTGCTCCTCTTCCAAACGCAGCTGCTCCTCTTCCCGCCACCGCTGCTCCTCTTCCAGCCTCCGCTGCTGCTCCTCCTCCAGCCTCCGCTGCTCCTCTTCCAGCCGCCGCTGCTGCTCCTCCCGCCGCCGCTGCTCCTCCCTTTCCTGCAGCTGCTGCTCCTCCTCCCGCCGCTGCTGCTCCTCCTCCCACCGCCGCTGCTCCTCCTCCCCGTGCCTCCTGAGCTCCTTCAGCTCGCTTTCCTCCTGTAGCTGCCGCTGCTTCTCCGCCTCCTGCCCGCTGCACACCGCCTGCTCTTGGGCCTCCGGGTGCCTTCCTTCTTCTTGCTCCCTCGGCTCTTGGCCTTGGCCACCTTGCTCTCCCAGTCCCTGCCTCTCCTCTTCGCGTGGCCTTTTTTCTGCCTCCAGCTGCAGTTCTGTCTCCTCTCCCTGCTTGTCCTCTCCTTCCTCCTCCAAGAGCTCTTGGCTTCTGTTCTCTTCCCAAAGCCTCCTCTCCAGGGCCTGGAGTCTCTGCTCTTCCAGACGTCTCCTCTCGGCTGCCTCAGCCTTCTGCCGTTTGCACTTGGCCTCAAGTTCTAGCCAGTATTCTTCTTGGCATCTCTTCTCTTCTTCGGAGTCCAGCAGCTCTGGTTCCTCTTCGTGCCAAATTGGCTTGTCTTCTCCAGCGTGTCCGTTCTGGTCCAGGGAGGGCTGATGTGGAAGGCCACCGTGTTCATTTGGTCGATCCTAAGGAAAGAAAGACTTAGCCTTTTCCTTTAGCACAGGCAACCATTACCCACCTTATTCATAATGTCGGTGGCCCTCTTAATCTCAAAAGAAGGGGCAGTTGTTCCTAAGTATAGAGCTCAGTAAACACCAAGAGCAAATTGCCAGGGTGCAGGAAAACACATCCACTTCATGTTGACTCTCTAGCCCCTTTGTTGGTCATTCTCAAATTCCTTTTGCTTAATACAAATGAATCATAGGAGAACCAATAGCCCAGCATGAGGAAGATGAGAAAAAATGACATTTGCACTTCATCGATGTGCCCTGGAACCTGTGACTTCAAAGTCCACCCCAGTCAAACCAAAGGACCTCTGGCTGAGCCACAGCAGGGGAGCTGGGTCACCTGGCCGGGGCGAAGCCAACGCCAAGTGTCCAGAGGCCCTCGAATGGCAGCCTCTCATTTGGGGGTCCACCAGCCCCCAGGCAGGCAACATGTTAGAAAGGGCGATGGAAAGTAAAGGGGCCTGCTTGCCCTCGTTCACTGCAACACACCAGGTCCCCGATTCGAGGGACCTAGTTCGTTCTACTGGCACCACCCCACTGGGTAGAATGGGCACCCAGCAAGCACGGGCAGCTGCCTGGTCAGCTGCGACAGGCTCTACATACCCTGGCAAGCCGCCGGTGCTTCTTGGACACCCTCTGGTTTTTTGGCTTTACGGACAATTTGTGTTTGGCGGCACTGTTGTCCAGGCAAGCGATGGCCAGGGGGATGGCATCTAGGTTGACACTTTCGATGGTTCCAGCAGAAGAGAAGTGCCTTTTTGGCCGAGATGGTTTCACTGGAGCCACCTGTATGGAGAGGAAACCACACAGTCCCGATGAGAACCGCATGCGAGGAGTCCCAGAGCCATCGCCCTTGCTCGATGGAGCCTGCACATTGCCCGGCCCGGCCCAGGGACGGCTTCGAGCGGGCGGGGCTCACTGGGACAGTGAGATGAGCATGGCTTTGGGAATTAAAAGGGGACACCAACGATCTGTTCTGCCAGTGCTATTTGCATGAACTCATAAAGGTCAGGTAACCTTTCAGGGGCTAGTTTTCCTACTCTGAATAATATTGAGGGGGAGGTTAGAGTAGATGGGGGGGTGACCAAACATAGCCAGGGGACCCAATCCTGCCCACAGCCTATTTTGGTAAATAAAGTTTTGCTGGCACACAGCCACGCCCATTGTCCATCGTCTTCGGCTGCGTTTGGGCTACAAAGAAGAGCACAACAAAGGAGAGTGTCCTGGTTGGACCTTATGGCCACAGAGCCTGAAATAAGTCATGGTTTGCTGAACCCTGGACCAGCTCATCTCCATACTAAGGACTCTATCATCTAAGACACGACCTCAGACACCTGCAAACATCCTTCAGCTTCCACCTTAGTCCCTTTGAGGAGGGAACGTATCTTTTTCCTCTTTTCAGTCCTCCTTATGCCCACGTAGCAAATCTCATTTGGCAAGTGCTCAATACATATTTTGGGGAGGAATGAAGGAACAACAAAAAAGTAGATCGTCTATGCCTAGGGCATGAAATTGCCACCCACAAAAATGTTCCAGCACAGTCACTCCAAGGCCACAGAGCACTGGGTTGAGTGCACCAAGCCGCTGAGAGGGGGAGGCCCTGGTGGAAAAAGGAAGGGCAGCAATGTACCAGCCAGGGGTGAGGGCTGTCCCTCAGACGGCGAAGGGCAGCACTGTAACGCAGATGCGCGCACTTAGGAACCACTGCCAGTTAGACCGGTCAGAGAGCCCCAGCTCAGCCGGCTCCCGGAGGCCACACTGAATGGGAGGAGAAGCCACGCCTGGAACTAGTGAGAATTACAGGCCGCGGCAAGGGGACGGCTCCCAGCCGCACGGCGCCAGCACGCGGCAGAGGGCGCTCTCGGCCCTCCCTGCGGGGCCAGCAGCGCCCAGCACAGGCGCCCCAGGAGCCGAGGCCGGCGTCCGTGTGTCAGCATCCACGCTACCGAGGCAGAGCCGGTGGGGCTTAGCGGACAGCTTTGCTTGTTGCCACTACCTTCCATATTCATGCACAAAAGATAAAGGACCAAGCCAGCTCCAAGAGCAAAATGGATGCTCAGTAAATAGCTTAAGAAGCACAGAAGTAAGGAAAAATAATTCCAGCCTTTGGGCTCCTAGCTTTTATTTCTCTATAGTTATCTTTCTAATAGTTACCAAATTCTGAACTCTGGTTCAAGAGAGATGAATCAAACATTTATTTCCATCCCCTAATAGATGGATGAATAAAAAGCGTCTGAGCCAAATGTGACAGACTGAAGGCACAGAGAAGCACTTGAAGCTGAGATTTAAATGCCAGGTTGCATTTCTAGTGTATTCCAACCGGGCTTCTTCATTGTCTGGGTGGTGGCACTGTCTGCAGCCATCCCCCTTCAGAAGACTCAGGGACATACTCTGCTCACTGTACCAGCCCCCATGAGGAGGCCTGGAGCCCCGTGCAGGTGAAGATTGCTCATGGGAGTGGACCGGCCTCTACAGGATTCCCGAGACTCCTGTAGGCACAGTCCCGGGTTCAACTGAACACCAGAAAAGTTAAAAAACAAAAACACATACAAGTAGAGAAAAGCTGAGGTTTTGTTTTGTTTTTTTTTTGCATCTCTAAATAGAAGGAGACTCTTTTCCTGAAGGTACAGGTGTTCTGGAATGTCTTTTTCAATGGCTTAACAGTGTCTGGAAGGACCTGGCACAGTTAGGAAGATGAGCAACGTCTAAGTGTGCAAATATGTGCAGGCTGGGAGGTGGCTGTTTTTCCAAGCGGGGCTCAGTACCAGCAGGTGCATAATGAACACTCTAACATCTACCACTGGTAACGTTCTGAAGGAACTGAAGGTAATGGGTGAAGGCAGCATTTACGAATGGAAAAATGAGACAGTGGGTCGACAAAAGGGGCTTAGCGGACAGCTAAGGGGGGGCGAAATGGAAGTTAAAGACACTAAAAACAGAAGTTGAAGTCATACTACCTTCTCTTCCATCTCACTTCTGGCTCCAGGCCGATTCGGAGGACTCTGAGAACTTGGAGTGTCACTGGGCTGGAACAGTAAAGAGAGCGCTGCAGTTAGATGCCGGAACAGGAAGTCCTGGGCAGATAAGCGGACTCCTGCTGCGCGTGGGAAAGGTGGGCGTCCCGGTGGGGACTCGGCTAATGTCCCGACTAGGACTCCCGGCACGAAGTGTACACTTTCTTCTTTTCCTGAGTTCAACACATCTCCGTCCGGGCAGCCTCTAGCCTCCATCTTTGCTGCGTTTCCCCAGGGCTGAGAGAGGCCAGGCGCCAGTCTCTCGCCACCCCACCTGGGAAGCAGGGCTGGGTCACACACCCGGCCTCCGACCTCAGAGCTTTTGGCCGTGCCCACTGCCTTCACCCCCTTCACCTGCAACACCTCTCACCTCTACGCCAGGCCTCTTCCCTGTGGGAAGGAAAGGCCCTACCAAAGCTGCGCGCAAAGGGCTGGGCTGAGAAGGTGGATGACCAGAGGAGGCAAAACCCTCAGCATGGAAGGAAGAAGAAAAAGGCTGAAGATCCCCAGCCCAGTTGCCTCACCTGCCCTGGGAAGGCCCACACCACGTCGCCTGCCCCTGATGGCACGCTGTACCTTCTACCTGGCATGGCCCATCTCTACAAACAGGTGTTATGATCCCCTCCAGAGCAAGAGTGTCAGCTTCCGTACCTCAGCCTGTTTTCTGCACCACACTTAGAAGCACCTTTAGAAAATACAAATCGGGCACTTGGGTGGCTCAGTTGGTTGGGCATCTGACTCTTGGTTTCGGCTCGGGTCATGATCTCACGATCGTGGGATCAAGCCCCGTGTCAGGCTCTGTGCTGAGCTGAGCATGGAGCCTGCTTGGGATTCTCTCTCTCTCTCCTCCCTCTGTCCCTCCACCCCGCTCATGCTCTCTCACTCTTCCTCAAATAAAAATAAAATTTAAAGAAAAAAAGAAGAAAACACAAATCAGATTATGTCACCAACAGGCTTATAATTCTACTTCTCTCAGAATAGAATTCACCTTTTCCCGTGGTTTATACAATCTGGCCTCTATACCTTGCTCTATCCTCCCTTTGCCCCTCTCTAGGGTCTGGCCGACCGCACCAACCTCCTTTCTTTTGGGACACCTTCAGCCCCATCTCTGGGCCTCCATACTTGCTCTTCCCTCTGCGGAGAACATGGCTCCCACCCCAGGTCTGCTCAGGCTGCTCTGACCTCCTTGTCTAGAGAGCGGCCCCTCACCCACCACGTTACTCACTTTTCCATCACTCTGCCTGACCTCCTGTGCAGCATTTTTCGTGAAGCAGTTATTACATTTATTGTATAAATAAGTTATTATATTTATACGTATGTGTTGACTTGCCACATGACTCTCCTCTCATTAAAATGTAAGCTATGCGGAGGCAGCCCCCAGGCTAATCTCGCTCATCTCTGCAATACCCACAGCTGGGGCAGCACCTGCAGACCAACTAAGCCTCCTTCTCCCTCCGGCCACGGTCCCTGGCACTTATTAGATCCTCAGGAACAGTGAGGACATTTGCTTCAGTCCTTGGGAAGTCCGTGCATGAAGGCTGATTTTTGTCACTGCCGCCTAGCCCTGGAGATGCTGGACCTGGTGGGAGGGCTGGCCCCATCCTACTTTACCCACCACACCACCCGCCACCCACATGTCTGGGGACCAGGAGTCATGAGGGCCAGAGGCAGACGGGGGCAACAGCGGGGGAATGGCCTGTTCTTTCCTTCCTCACTCTGCCCTGCAAATCACTTCTCTTTCTTACTGCCCTTATGACGCATTAGCTGATAGCAAGCATGACTTCGGGGGGCACGTCCATTTTAACAACAGCAGTGTAATTTCAGACGCCTTGCTAGGCAGAGCACAGAAAATGCTTTCTGTTGAGACTGGAAGATTCAGTGCCTCACCTAGAGACCTCCCTGCTCCAGCTGCTGGTGGGGCCTACCCTCCTTCCCCACTAGAGGCCCGAGGATGTCCCCTCTGCTGCTGGAAGGACTCTCATTCCGGGATACCCTCATGGTGTTTCTTTCCAAGTGTCAAAAGACCAAATTCAGAAAGGACAATGCTGAACCAGTGTGACTTTCTTCACTCATTAAGTAGACTTCAAGCTGGCCTGTTTGATATGTTCTGTCTCGTTAGGCACCTACTTCTTTCTTTTCTCATCTCCCTTTAAATTAGTCCAATTTGACAAGTAATTACTTGGTGCTACTAAGTAAGGCACTAGCTGAGTCCTGAGGAGACAGGATGTGGAAGACCCAGTTTGTCCTCAGGGAATTCCACATTTAGAGATGGAGAGAACACAATTACACGGACACGGATGAGTACGGGTGTGTGAGAAGCACAAAGGACGGATAGCAAAGACACAGAGGAGAAAGCACCGCGTGGGGGTAAGGCCAACTAAGGCTTCCCAGAAAAGGCGGACCCACCTGAGTCTTGAGGAGTAAGTGGAAGACGCTGTGAGGAGCACCTGTGAAGGGCCCGTCTCCTCTTCCCCACCCCCGCCCGCCCCTCCAAGTGCGCCTCCCTGCAGCTCACGGTGCCTGACCACGAAGTGCCCTCCAGCCCAGGGCTACTCATCAGAAAATCTTCTCTCACATATTCCCTGTACAGCAGACCCCAGAGTTACTGGATGCCCCTGGCCACTGCCCAACGTCCTCCCCTCGCTTATCAGCAACCAAGTCATTCCTTGGAGGAGCCTTACTTTGTTCTCGGTGTCTGAGAGGATGATGTCCTCTTGAGTCACAATTTCCATGGGACTGGTCAGGAACAGATCCTCTTCTAAGCTAGCCTCACCACTGTCTGCCTTCTTCATGGGAATGGCATTGGGTGGTGGCCGCCCAAACTTGATGTTTTTGCTCAACTGCTGCTGGAGAAAAACCAAAGAAAATGTTCTGAAGCAGGGAAGCAGGTCACGAGAAGCGCAAGCAGATGCCCCGGCATATCTAGTGGGCACCGAGGCATGTTCTGGACACATTTCTAGACTAAATACCATGCCAGTAAGCCATGATGCGGTCCTGGAACAAGTGGATTCTTCTAGTTTCTTTTCCTTTCCCACCCTCAAGCCATGAGCTTTTTCATCCAGCCACCTCTTTCCCGGAGATGCCAACATTATCCAGGGGGCAGAGAGACCACATTTCCGAACCAAAAGTGGGGATACGTGTTATGACAAAAATTTTTTGATTAACCCTATAAATGTATTTATTAAAAAGTCTTTTAAAAGTATAATAATGGTACAGAAAATAGTTACGTGAAATGCAGGAACCACTGGGGGAAATCAAGACCCACGTGGTTGCTATAACAGGGGAACCCTCCAGCTTCTTTTGGACATGTTCTCCTTGAATATTTACGCTTTAGCCACCTTCCTCCCCAGCCCCTCGCTCGAACATCATGCTCTTCTCACAATGGGCAGGAGGTGAAGGAGGCCCCAGTGCTGGCAAGTCTTTCCACAATCAATGAGGAAATCATGGAAGGCACAGAACAATCCTGTCCTGTCCCTAGGACTCTTTTTGCCCTGCTGCAGCTAGACACTGTGAGCTGTGAGACAGAAGGGCTGGAGAGGCAGGCAGGAGGAAAGGGCCAAGGAGGGATGCATTATTGGTAGCAGGTAGCTAGAAGGGTGTGTGGGGGGGAAACGGGGTAGAAATTAGGAAGATCAATAGTGTTTAGAATTAGAGAAAAGCCAGATTAGAAAAGAAATATATTCTCTGAAGAAAAAATATATAAATATAACATTAAAGAAAGGGCAAAATATTTAATGGGTTGTGGCAGAGAAAATGAACATTCAGGAAGAAAAAAGGGTATGCCATGGCCACCTGAAGGACCACTGAATTAAAAATACTGTAGAAACGCCTGCCTTTTTCTACAGCAGGGTTCTCAACCTCGCACTACTGGCATTTCGGCCACATCATTCTCTGCTGTGGGGAGCTGTCCTGTGCGTTGTAAAATGTTTAGCAGCAGCACCCTGGTCTCCGGGCACCAGATGCCAGTAGCAATTCCTTCCCCGTCGAGACAACCAAAAATGTCTCCGTCGGTTGCCCGATGTCCGCTGCGAGGATAAAACTGCTGTGGCTGAGAGCTCCTGCTCTAGACCTACGGACTTGGGCTTCATAGTCCTTTTGTGCCGGAAGGAAGGAAGGAAGGCAGGAAGGAAGGAAAGGAAGAAGGAAAGGAAGGAAAGAAGGAAAGACGGAAAGAAAAGAAAAGAAAGAAAGGAAGGAAAGAAAGAAGGAAAGGAAGGAAAGAAGGCAGGACGGAAAGAAAGAAAAAGAAGGAAGGAAGGGAGGGAGGGAGGAAGGAAAGAAAGAAAGAAAAAAAAGAAAGAAAGAAAGAAAAGAAAGAAAGGAAGGGAATGCATTATCTGATATTTATCTTTAATCTGGCTAATATTTAATCCCATAGAGCCGCAAAGAGCCTTAGCAATCACATAGTCCAGCCCCTCGTTTTATAAAAAATGTCAGAGGCCCAGTGGGGAGAGGTGACTGGCCCAAGTTTAAGGAAAGAAAGTGTGGCCCCAGAGGGATTTGAAGCCGGGTCTCCTAAAACCAGAGTCAGTGTTATTTGCATCGCGTCCCACAGGTTCTCGCAAATTTGACATTGCGCTTCTTTCTTCCTCCAGGGGCGGAAATAAAGATGATGCAGCATTTTTAAGACCTTGTCCAAGTTCCCTGGCAGGGGAATCCCTTGAGGGAAATGCCCCTTCTGAACTCAAGGGTACTAAATCCACCCACTCGTGCCCAGCTCCCCCTCGGCCCTGCATGGTAGACAGTGAGACTGCAGAGACATGGAAAAGATGAGCCCAAGACCGCCCTCCCCACACCCCAGGGCACCCCAGCATGCCAAGTCAGGAGCACAGAAAGACAGAGGACTTGTATTTGATCTGCTGCTATTTCAGCCTGAGCCTGGCTCCCCTGGCACCACAGGGAAGGAGCACACATCAAAAGCCCCAAGTTCAGCCAGTGAAGTACAGCTTGAGCAGCCTGAAAGGGTTTTGGGGAGGAGAAGCCTGAAAAAGGTGTCTTCTCAAAACCAGTTTAGCAGGAAGCAGCAGTTAGTATCTACTCTAAGCAGATCAATAAGCAGGCACGGTTAGAGCAGCCGATGGAGCCAGACAAGAGGACACAGTGTAACGGAGTCACAGGCCCGTCTCACTCTGCTGACCTGTGGGAGGGGGGTCGGGACCTGGGCGGAGGAGGTGGCATGGTTCCTGTGTCCTAGCGAAAGCCCTAGCAGGACCTCCCTCTGGGACTCCCAGCCCAGCCTTCGGTCTACCAGTTATCCCTGCTCTAGGAGTGTTGGCCGAGAGCTGGAAAGTGTTCTAAATCCCCTTAGACTGAGACCTCCTGTTGTCAGGTCTGCCATCTCTCAGTGCTCCTGAACGACTAAAATGAGGGTATTTCTTCTAGTTATAATAGAAAGAATAATTCTTTAACAAGTTTCCAAGGAGAACTTGGCCTAACAGTCAATGCCAGTTAGGGGTTTTTGCCACCACCACAAAAAAAGAATGAATATGCTGATATTTTTCTTCATTAAGGCACCTTTTAAAATACTGATGTTGGTCCACCCTGATGCTTAAGAGACAACCAAGCATATGACACAATGTAATCGCAGCCTAGATGGAAATAAGCTCCAAAGATAGGATGACTGTCATGGTGAGCAATGGAAAAGCTACGAGAGAATGGAAAGAAGAAATCGATGGAATAAGAACAGGAGAAATAGGGCACACGGGGACGAAGCTGGGAAGTGGAGAGGGTGGTGTTAAGAGCTAAGTGGAGAACGATATCAAAGAGGTGAGCTGAGAAGAGGATGCAGGGGCGTGGGGCGTGGGCCTGGCGGCAGGTACCCAGCTGAGGGTGGGGAGAGAGGGAGGGAAGAAAAAGTGGAGGGCGGGAATGAGAATGTGTGTGTATTGAAGGGATGATTTATGTCACAGAGATGTGCATCCTGGCAAAAGAAACACAATGCTGTTGTCTTTGAGAATAACAGTGTGCATTTCTGTAAAGCCGCTGATTTAAAATCCTTCTAGAAAAAATATATTCAGGCTGGTGGCTACGAGCTTTGGGGGATGGAGGAGGGGGGGACCTGGGTCATCACAGAAATGCTGGCCGCGTTCAGGGATCGAGCTGCAGCCTCTCTGTCCAGACAAAGGACTGCCTTCCTAGACACACACACCTGCAGCTGTCAGGGATGAGACCGCAGAACTAGGCCAGGGTAGGCCTTAGGGTCCAAGACCACAGTAACTGAGCCTCAGCTTCTCAAGGCTGAGGCTCCTGCACCTGCATGTTTTCCCTCCCTGCGGTTCCTGCTCCAAAGGCTTCCTTAGCTGACTCAAAGGAGATAGGGCTGTCAAGACACTGTGTGATTTAACGACAATTAAAAGGTGACTGCTGAAACCCATTTGGCAATCTCGGGTGTCACGTGACTTGAATGTAGGGATCAGTGTGACTTTTTTTGTGACTTTAGTTCTGTCCACTACTCAAGGCATTGTCATGAGAGGAACTTTGATAGAAGCAATCCCTGACAACCGGCTGTTCGGACGACCACTCCCTCCACCTTCTCTACTACCCAAGGGCCCTTTATCTACACAGCAAGCACAGCCGGACGGGAGCGGGGACACTGCGCCTACAGCGACGGGCCACGCCGCCTGCTGCTGTGAATGGGGTTACTGTGAGGACTGGAATGTGAGCTAAAAGGGACTATATTTTACTCATTCAAATTGGGCCATTTTGTTGTAATATGGAATGCCAGAGAATGATGTTATAGGAATGCACATCCATATTTATGAGGCTTTTTCCTGTGGTGTGGGAATTCCAAGCACATCATATTCTGCAGCTCTCACACTGCCAGTATTTAGGTTCCCCCAGATTTCTCACAGCCACCCTTTAGACCATGGCCGTGAGAACAAAGCTGAGGAAAAATGAAGTTGCTGTCCTCTTGAGTGAACTACAGATACACCCATAGTGAAAATGAATTTTTAAAGAGAGGCAACAGAAAAAGCATATAGATTTAAGGACATCGGCTCTATGCAGAAGTGGCTAAGAACGGGTATTTAGTCTTTGCGTCCTTGACAGCAGCATGAGGTGTCAAAATCCTCCAACATATGACACTTCAGCATTTTTAAGTGAAATCCAGCTCCGCAGGAGTCAGTGGCTACTGAAAATGGAGGCTTTCCCTCCGGGGCTAAATAGTCCGTGGACTAACAGAGTTAGCATTTTCTGACAAAGGTGTGGTGTAATTCTAAAAATCACCTGCAGGCTTAGACTCTGATGTTCCTGCCTGAGTTTTATCATCAGTTGTTACCCACTTCATAGTCTGGGTCTGATCTGAAATAAGCAGGCGTCTCCCTGGTCTGTGATCTGGGCAGCTGTAAGGAACATCAAGGTCACTGCACTCCAAATGCAACCACGTGTGAAGCTTACCAAACCACTCCGTGCTACAGCAGGTGAGCAGTGATTTCGTACAGATGGCAGACTTTAAGAACTGGAGGGGCCAGATCATCCATCATATTCATTCCCTTATTTTTCAGATGGGGATGATGAGGGTCAGAGAGGTTCAATGACTTCCCTGGAGGCCACACAGCCAGGTGGTGGGGAAGGCCCGGCACAGAATTTTTATTTCACCCATGGCCATGGAACAGCTGACTGGTATGTGTAGGGTCTTCAAAAAGGGCATCACTGTTTTTCTGGCCCCTATAACTCTCCTGTATATTAGAATTTGTTCTCCCTACAAACATGTAGTATTTTTATACTCAGGAAAAAAAGAGTCATTTTTCTTGTAAAGGTTCAATGATTTGCCACAGAAATTTTGGCAGGTGATAGATTCACTTGATTCAGAAAGTGCAGGCTTATTCACGCTGCATTCATTCATTCTGCACTCAGTAGATAGGTTCCAGACCACCGCGGTGCCACGTTAGGCTGGCCGGCCGAGCTGGGATGACCATGTGTGGACACTAGAGGGCAACCTTTCCAAACGCAGTCAGTACGCGCACAGTGCTGGGGGTTTCCGAGGGCTGGGAAGTTTCTTAGGCCAGAGAAAAATGGCTTCCCCCCCACCAATGGCATTATGATAGAAATCTCATTTCAAAAGAATGTCTTAATAATGGTGGCTAATCAGCCTGCCAGGACGTCCACTGTCAAATAGGTATCCGTGACTTTTCTCTCTCTCTGTTTTTAATAAACATACATACATACACAAACACGATATTGAACATAAAAAACATACATGCGTCTGACATAACTAACACCCTCATTCCATGCTGGAGTCTACGAGGGGGCGGTCTTCTATGCTGCTTACTAAGCATCAATACCAGCATAACGTTGTCATGGAAAAATGCAAAGCATTCATGCAAGTTAATAAAGTTAACTACTATTTCTATGACTTACCAGGAACATACTGCTTAGTCGACTGAAAAATAAAGCACAGTCTTTTGGGGGTGATACAGTTATATCTTAATGTCACTCCAAAAATCACATTTCTACGATAATGGTCCCCATTTCCCTCCTCAAAGAGCAAAGCCTCTTTATTTTTTAAAAGTATAACTGGAGAGCTGTAAGGAAGATTATAAATCCACAGCAGAAGCAAAATTAGGCAGACCTCGGAGGAGTAGATATTGTCCAAAGGAGAGCACTCAGGTTACTTATTCTCTCTCCTCACAATTTCCTTTCTGTTAATAGAACTGTTGCTTCAGGGAAGTTGGTTGTTTTACATTTTAATTGTGAGACCTGATTCTTTAAACTGGTGCCTTGCAGTGTGACTCGGAGTAACAGGCACTCACATATTTTTACTGAGTTTCAACAGTGCAGAATTACATATTTTTCCCAACTCCAAATCCACTTCCTGGAGGGGCAGTGGCATGCGGTGTGATGTTAGCACAGACAGCATTTAAGACAACACACTATTATCTAATTTTTAAAGAACTCCTCGAAAGCCCTTACAAAATACAGCTGTTTCATGGACTGAACTCTGGAAGTCACTCCACTTGGAAAGGGCGTATTTATGAGCCAGGAGTTCAGAACTTCTTAGGAATAACAGTCCAGGAATCAAAAGATTTCACAGAGGAAAGGTAATACGGGGAGGGGGTCCACCGTTTTCTTTGGCGATCACCACCGCTTCCTCTTCTCCAACCTAGGAAAAGTGACAGCTTTCTTTTTCTTCTGAGTCTAGACACATGTAGCCGCACAGCCAGCAAGAACTAAGAGCAGAACCTGGTTAGGACATGCTGGAATCTGAAGGAAGGGGCTACGTTAGCTCTGAGGGCAGGACAGGGACCCTGGGCCATGGCTGGCAGTAGGTATGAAGATCCGGGCAAGTCTGGGTGTGGTTCCAGGGCGTAAGCTATTTCCCCGCCTGCCATATGCTATATTCAGCTGAGTGTGTGTGGACATGTAACCAAACACAGATCACAAAATGCATAGCTAATGTTCAGTAGAAACAAGAACATTTCAAGAAAATAGAAAACTTCGAGTATACTGCTTCATTGTATTGGCAGCTACTCAAGCCAGCTGTCCCCCACCCCCATTCATTCATTTATACATTCGTTATTGGAGACTTACAGACAGATGGAAACCAGCAAACCAGAGTCCCCCATTCGTAACCTGGATCGCCTCCAAGCCTTCCCACCTCAGAGAAGTGCTTGCTTGGGCACTTCTGTCAGGTGAGTGAATTCTACCAGGCTATCAGGCAAACCTACATGGTCGCATCCCAGGTGTCTCTGCTCCTCTTGCTTGCCCTGGATTTCCCATGATTTCAATCACATTTAGTGAGTAATTGTTTTATTATATCTTCATTATTAAGGAGTTACCACCTGAGTCAATTTTATAGAGGAAAACTGCCCGGCTCCACAGCATGAACAGGAGGGAGGTTTAAGAGCTGCCTGGCATTCCTCCAAGACAGGGTGGCTCAGGGGGAGCCAGATTTACAAATACGGCAAATAATAAAAAGTCTTACCATTCACTGTCCAAGTATGAAGACGTGCTGTGCATGCCCTCAGCTAACAGTTAACCCTGTGCTCAGGGATTATGGGCCACATTTCCAACTCTCCCCTCCCGCCAAGTCCTGCAGCTTCTCTTGGGTACCTGTCCTCATGACATGCAGTTAAAAATGAGGGAACAACTCGACAGAACAGGAGTGGAGTTGTTATGCAGGTGGGTATAATGGTGACAACGTCTCTCCAGGTGGACAGAAGGCTTCCAGAGAACATAGTCAGGGTTGAGAGAGCAAAAATTCCCACCAGAAGCTCCCCTTGGATCTCCCGATCCCTTACTCAAGGCCACTCTCAGGATGTTCCCACTTCCCACCATCGCCGGGCCCCCTCCTAAGGCTGACTTTCCAATCTCAAGCTGTCTTACCTGAAGAGTTTTGACTTTGCCCAGGATGCTGTCCTGTGACATTGCTTGAACTGTCTGCTCACTTTCTGCTCCCCCATCAGGGATAAAAATACTGTCATGGGAAAATGCCCGGGTTCCCATAGAATAGTTGAAGGACCTGGAATGCAAATCATGTGCTTCATTTTATTAGGATGATAATAATTCTTTTGGCAATTCAGCTTCCTGTTCCTCCTGATTTAGGGGACTCCCCCTACAATCCCTGTCTCATTCAGAAAGCACTTCCAGCATTGTGTCCTCTTCTGCGAGGGGTCAGCCAAGTAGCTGGGTAGGAGAAAGGGTCTCCCAGAAATAAGGGAGCATGTCTCCAACACAAGGTTTTAGAGCCACTCAAGGAGAGAACTCAAAGACAGCTCTTGACTTGTAGAGGACCTGGCACCCGAGGCCCTGGCAGGAATTGTAACTGGAGGAGCCCATGTCCTGACGAGCCTGACGAGCTGCCGCTGTCCATTTTCCCCCAGTAAGTCCTGTCAGCCAGCACTTTTGAAGTCACATGCAGATCTAGAGGTTAGAGGCAAGAGATTCTCTTTCAGATGACAACCAAATTGTTAGAAAGACCCGTACATCTAAAACCAAGACTTGACAGAGCCCAGCATTGCTGGTAGGGCCTACAGGTAGAGTCTCTGGGGCCGGACTTGAAGAGAAACGATGGGCTTCACGCACACTGAGCGGCTCATAAGTGGCAGGTACCCAACAGTAAGCACGGCTCAGTTGGAGCGCTGTGCTTCACGGAGTCTGCACTTCCACCTGGCGGGCGGGGGGGGGGGGGGGCTGCAGGAAGAGGAGCAGCTGCAGCTCACTGTTCCTCGCTCAGCCTCGGGTCCTAACTGCTCTCTGGGAAGGCGGCTCCCAGGGGCGGGCAGAACCACACCCTCTCCGGGAGGCAGGGCAGGTACATTCCCATGGTGCCAGGCGGCGGGCAGACTCCCGGGTGAGAGGGCCCCTCCCTCAGAGCGGGCCCGGCCTGGAGCTTGTATCAGTGGCCTGGGGCCGGCACTGGGGGGAAGGCGCCTCCGGCTGGGCCTTCTGAACTCAATCACAGACGTGCAGCGGGCAGGGTCCTGACCAAATCTAGATGGAGTGAGGAAGGCTGAGAACCAAATCCTGTCTTCGAAAAGCATATGAGGTTGAGAAACCAAAGACCTGGAGGCGAGCCTCCTGGCTGGGTGATCCTCGTCAATACCAGTAATAGCTGCCTCCAACCCCCACCCTGATGAAAAACCACCGAGAGTTTTACTCTGGTCATTTCAACCCCAACCCCTTGTTGCAGATGGAACTTGGGGCAAATAACCTTATCTAAAGTTGTCCGAATAGAAGTCGCAGATGAGAAAATGAGCTGCGGAGAACCGTCTCTCACCAGCCAGTGGAATTTTTCAAAGCAGCGGAAGGTCTTAGAGTCTTCCCTCTAGTGAGTGAAAGAGGGTGTGGGGGGGCCAATGGGAGGGGAAACCAGACGCAAATGCCACGTGGGCTGGAACCTGGGAGGATTAGAGAGATACTAAATAGCTAGAAGAACGGGTAAGCTTTCAGCTAGATAACACCAGACAACATACAGCGGCAACCCACTCTATGAAATAGGAGGCACTGTCTAGGATATGAATGTGACAAGAATTAAATATCTCCTTATCTCCCTGTCTTCAGAGACTCTATGGCCTATGTTACAAAATGAACAACCAGGTTTACCTAAAGAAGCTATGAAATAAACTTTTCATCTAGTTACAGAATCAAATCTTTTATAGGAAGTGCCATCAGAAGAGAATCAAATCTTTTAACATTCCGTCTAAACTTATCAGATTCCTGGCTATGATTCAGATGGGAGAAGACACAACCAACTTCATGTCTACACAGTGTTTTTACAAGTGGCTTAGACACATATAGATGCTTTCAAATATCCTTACAAACACATATATACACAAGTCATTTTAGAAGCTTAATAAATGTTTACTAACAAATGTGTACTACAGTCGGGTGGCCACAACACCCTGGTGGTAGGCCAGATCCCATTCCAGTTTCTAAGGCAACCTTGACTGAATCATGAACTTGATCTCCCTGATCCCATTCTTTTTCCAGGTAGGCTAAGAATCGACACTCCTACTCTTCTGTGTTACCCCAAATGTTCCTTGCTGCCAACCACAACTGAATGTCCATCCATTCCTCACTTCCAGATAATCATACTGACAAACAGAGAAAAATGAACAGTAATGATAGCAGTAGTGATAATCACAGTAACAGTGGCAGTCACAATGGTAATATTAATACTGGCTAGATTTTATCGGACACTTGCTGTGTCCCTCGCGCGTGTGCTAACGTCTGCAGGGTAATATCTGAGTCCTTTTGACATATAATATTTAAGCTGTATGTGGTAGGCAGTAGTATGAAGCCTATTTACAGAAGAGGAAACTAAGGCTTGAAGACAGTGGGTGACTTGCAATGAATGAAGTGACTGTATACATGTGGATCTGTTTCTGGTCTCATTTCCATTGGTCTACTTGTCTATTTTTACTGCAATAATCCCACGCTGTCTTAATTACTACAGCTTTTTAATGAGTGTTGGTATCTAGTAGTTTAACTTCTCCAGCTTTGATTTTTTTTTTTGTCAAGATGGCTATTCTTATCTCTGCATAAATTTACATACATACACACACTTCAACACACTCCTAGAATTGCTTTTGTGATGGCATTAGATCTACAGATAAATTGTGGGATAACGAACATCTTTACAATACTTGATCTTTTAATCCATGAGCATCAGATATCCCTTCATTTTAGATCCCACTTACTTTCCCTCAATAATGTTTCGTAGTGTTGTGCGTAGAGGCTTTATACATATTTTGATAGATTTATTCCTACATATTTGATGTTTGTATAGCCTAAAATTTTTATAATTGTTTATTGGTGGAATATTAAATTACAATTGATCGTCACATACTGCTCTTAGCTTAGCTAAATTTATTAATTATAATAATATGACTTGATTCTTTTGGATTTTCTATGTATATAAGCAGGTTGCCTGTGACAAAAGGCAGTTTCGTTTCTTCATTTTAAATCCATCCTTCCTTCCTTCTTTTTTCCCTCCCTTCCTCTCTTTTGTTGGTCACATTTCATTATCTAGGAACTTCACAAAGTTGAAGAGAAGTCACGATGGTAGACTTGACATATTCTTGAACTAAGCAAAAATGCATTCAGTATTTTACCATTAAGTTATGCTGTAACCCATAGAGTTTTTGTAGGTTATATCACTGCTTCTTCGAAAAGACAGGCAGTCTATCATCTTTTATTTATAGCTGATATTAAGATTTTTCTCTTTGCCTTGGTTTACAGCAGTTTTACTCTCTTGTGGCCAGTGTGATTTTCCTTTAGTTTATCTAGCTGGGGATACATAATACTTCCTAAACCTGTTGCTTGTGGCTTTCATCAGTTCTGGAAAATTCTCAGCCTTCAAATATTGCCTCTACCCCCTTTTTCCTTTATTCCTCCTCTGATTCTCTGATGTTAGAATGTCTCCCCATGAGCCATATGTCCTCATGCTGTTTTCTGTACCTGTCAATTCTTTTTACTCAGTATGACTTAGTATGGATTTTTCTTTTACTTTTTTAAGATTTTATTTATTTTTTTTGTCAGAGAGAGAGAGAGGATGCACAAGCAGGGGGAGTGGCAGGCAGAGGGAGAAGGAGGCTCCCCAGTGAGCAAGGAGCCGAATGAGGGACTTGATCCCAGGACTCTGGGATCATAACCTGAGCTGAAGGCAGACGCTTAACCGACAGAGCCAATCAGATGTCCCTTAGTATGGATTTTTCTACTGACCTAGACTTCAGCTCATTAATTCTCTCTTTAGTTGTATCTAATCTGCTGTTAAAATGATCTATTGAGCACTTAATTTCAGTAGTGTTTTTCATATCTAGAATTTCCATTTGATTCTTTTTAATAGATTGCAGTTCTCTGGTAAAATTCTCTATCTTGTCAACTATTTTATTGAATGTATTAATCACAGTTATTTAAATATCTGAAACTCCAATATCTTTTATCATCTTGGGGTCTACTTCCACTATTTTGTTTTTCTCATAGTCTGTTTCTCAACTGGTAATTTTTTGATTGAATTCTATATATCAAGAATGAAACATTATAGAAGCTGGGTTCTCTCCTCCCAGAGAGGACTCACCCAATCCTTCAGCCATTAGTGGAGGAGCAGATCACCTCAATCGTGTTAGGGACTGAACTGACCACAGCTGGTTAGCAATCTTTATAAGGCTCAGACTACCTCTGCTTTGTCCTCACTTCTAAGGTACAGGTCTCCTGTTGTCTCAGCTGACAGCCTGGGTTGCTTCCTAAGGTCCCCCTCCTTGGTAGACCCCAATTTTCATCTTTCCAACATCACAGACTGTCAAAAGCTCTGCCTTGCCTTCCAGCCTCTATCCTTGTGCAGCTTTATCAACAAATTCATCAGAAGGAAAACTGTTGCCTAGATTTAGATTCTTTCTTCTGAGTTTCTCTTCTCTTGGGTATTTCAGTCCTTCAAGTCCTGGCTATCTCGGCAGCCACAAACTCCAGTTTTTTTATTCCAGGCTCCAGAAGATTGCCTACAGCTCTGCTCTCTTCTCCTCTTGGCAGTCACTCTCAGGCTTTTTGGTCTCTTGCTCTCCACCAGGAGTCACCTAATGCCCACAGGGGAGAAGCAATATGCAGAAAGTTGGGCTCAATTCAGTGGGCTTCCATTCTCTCCAGTATCTTGTTGTTCAAGTCTGATGCATTCACAGCAATCAGATGCCTTTAGACAGATGTCTTTGTTTAAATATTCTATCTGCATTCCTAGTTGTTCTTGGTGGGAGCACTGATTTGCAACATGCTACTTCATCACAGCCAGAAGCAGAAGTGATTAAATAACTTTTTGATATTTATGAAGTTTCTACATTTGTCAGAACCTACTTATTTATATGGCTATGACTCTTAAGAGGATTACTTTTCAAAGTGAGCAAAAACATTTCTACCTTTTTCTTCTTAGATCTAGTTTTTGTCCTATTTTAAAGCTCTGAGAAGAAACAGCGGAGGAGAATGGTAACTGGTTTATTAGTTATATGAATGAACACTCTCCTCTAAATATTT